CTCCCTACCATCACCCATATCTGTGAGGTCTTCAGGACTCTGCACTCACTACCCTCGCTGGCCTGTTTCACCCAGTCCGAGGAGAACCAGGCCACCCCTCTCCCAGCTGACACTGAGCAGCTTTGAGACATCTCTTGGGAGTTTGGACTCAGTGATCTCAACTCTTCCAGTTATGACAACGTGTGAGGCAATGAAGAGGGGAAAGTACATGAATGGCAAGGTGGAACTTGATCGTTCCTGTTTCGTAGGTTCGGGAAAGGTCCTTTGACAACTCACCAGGAGTGGAGGATGGTAGGTAAAGACTTAGATGGGAGAGCCCACTTCAGTGATGATTGAATGAGTATGTACTCCCTTCGGATTCACCTCTATTAAAGTAATTCAAAACCCTGGTCATCATTCGGTGTAGGCTTATCAGGAATCAGGTTCAGCTGGCTAACCTTACTTTAAATTCATTTTTTTCTTATTCCTTCTTACAAAAAATATTGTTATTGGGGACCCTAACCTTCTGAAATGAGTATCTCAGTACTCTGAGTCTTTATGTAATCATATGATTTTGTGCTACATCCAGCGCTGTGGTAAAGAGCAAAGCTAACCTTTTGCAGGTATAATATTATATGGAGTTCTGCTCTGTGACCTTTGCCCCACTCTGGCTTACCAGAGGATCAGCTGGCCTTGGCTACAAGGATACCCAGCCCAGTGCTGGCACATGTTAGGCACACAATAAATATTTGTTAAATGAATAGTGTCTGGTGTGTCTCTGGGTGGACTAGTCGTCTGCTGCTTACTCTTCATCTCATAGCTGACTTTCTCTTTCTGGTCTTGTTTTAATTATGATAGGTGAGAAGCTCCCTAAAGCCACTTGCAAAATTTCAGAGGTCAGTCATGGACTGTTAGGACAGCTGGGATCTAGTCTGAATGCCTGTATACATGGCTTTGTTGGGATGAGTGGGGGGCATGGAAGATAGTCTCATCAGGAAATGTCTCTAGCTCAGCCTATTAAAAAGTTAAGGGATTTGATCTGGGCATTAGGGTGCACACACCTGGAGAAGGAAGATTGAAAATAGAAATCTCATGAAAAGCATTGATGGATGATGGCCCAGGTTTCTCATTGATGGATGATGGCCCTTCTGCCTCAAAGGTATTAATTGATTTATTGTCCCTCTAAGCACCTAGAAGGCACAAAGAAACTTTAGAACAACTGTTTTTGAGATGCCTGGGATTTGGATCATTCCCAAAATGTGCTAACCTTACTGCTAAAACATAAAAAATAATTTCCCATTCCATTGAATGAATACAATTGGCAGCTTCTACCTTAGTTCCACCCCCTTGGAACTGGAAGCTGAGGCTAAAACATTAAACAGCCCTTCTGTTCACTCCCCTCTTCTTTTATTCCTCATCCATTACCTTGACAGAGATACCTGCTCATTCCCCATCTAGGGGAATCTTAGTTGGTAAAAATAAATCTGTTTGATCATTTTTCTGTGGGCAACTCTAGGCCCAGAAAGAGCCTCCTTTCTGAACTCTTGCTTTTGCCTAACATCCCCTGGCTGCTGTCCCCACATGACCCAAATAAACAGATGATCATGTGAAGCCAGTAAGGCTGTTTGTTTTAAATAGCAAGCATCTCCACTAAGCTCTGGAGCAGATGGGGTATTGGGGGCAAGGGAGAGACTGGCATTTGAATCTGTTCACTTTTATCTTCTGCTTTCCCATTAAAGAAAAAGTGTTTAGAATATTACTTAGCAAAGTGGTGCCTTCTAAATATGAAAGAGCTGTCCCTGACAAGAAGAGTCAGGAACATTGGATTTCAGCCTCTAGAAGAGTCTTCAAGAGCTGTATGTGTGCCATGACTAACCTGAGGACAGAAGGGGATGGCAGGAATTAGCTCTCTGAGCATCCTGGGTCACTGGGCAGAATGGTCCAGTGCCTACCCCAAACACAATGAGAACTTGGTCAACAACGTTATTTCAGTCCACTATTATATATACTGTGTACCCTCCCTCCTCCCCCATCACATACACCTATAGATTGCCTTTAAACTTGCAATTTTCTTTAGTTTTGCAGTTGGCCAGGCCCAGTAACACTGGTAGCAAGTTGCAGGCACCTCAAAGGAAGCAGTGTCAAAACCAGCACAGATCCAGCCCTTCCAGGAAAAGGGTATTTACTCATCCTATGGAGAACTGGGATGTTTAATACCTGTTCATTTTCAGCTTCATCATAAACAGCCAGAGGCATCCAGGCTTTTTTGTGTGGAAAGGTCAGAGTCCTTTGTAGATGTGCTGGGAAACAGCCCCTTTTCTCTCATTGACCAGGATCTGTGTAGCTTTTTTTTCTTTTATAAATTGATTTGAGAGAGACATTGATTTATTGTCCCTCTTATTTATACATTCATTGATTGATCCTTATATGTGTGATCGAACCCACAACCTTGGGATCGAACTCACAACCACTAGGAGGGAGCTCTAACCAACTGAGGTACCGTGTTTCCCCGAAAATAAGACCTAGCGCATGGAAAGATAAGACATCCCCTGAAAATAAGACCTAGCGCAACTTTGGGAGAAAAAATTAATATAAGACACTGTCTTATTTTCCGAGAAACAGGGTACTTCATCAGAGCATGTGCAGATTTTATTTCCCTCAAAGGTAAGGAGCAAAGCTTTCAATAGGTCTAGCCCTCTTCTAGTCCCCTAATTAAGACACTGTCTTATTTTCCGGGAAACAGGGTACTTCATCAGAGCATGTGCAGATTTTATTTCCCTCAAAGCTAAGGAGTAAAGCTTTCAATAGGTCTAGCCCTCTTCTAGTCCCCTAATTAAGAATTTATCCCTCTAAGGTCCAGTGGGGATGGAAGGCAATGGATTGGCAGTGTGGTTGGCCAAAGAGACCTTCTCATAAAGGTTTGCTTTTTGGTTTTGTATGATGGTGATGCCCAGGCCATGGGATCTTAAAACCAAATGGCATTGTCCCACTGCACTGGTTAACAAAGAAAGAAAGCTGTGGCCGGGACTGAGAGGGCGCAGGCCTGCTGGCATTGGGACAACAGAGCTGAATGTGCACCAGGGTACTTCTAATATGCCTTCAGCAGGCCTGTGCGATGACTACAAACTACCTGGGTTTCTGCAACTTCCTCCAAAGCAGAACAGAAGGGTTTCAGGTAAAGATTTTCGTGGTTCTAATCATGTATTAAATGGTTAAACTCCTCCCCATGGGAGCAATTTGGTATTCCTCCTGTACTTTTTTTTTTTTTTTTTTTTCCTAATTGGGGACCCTGCCCTATAAGGGCCTGCAAGAGTCATCTTGGGGTCAGGAATAAATGCTCTCTGCGAAGCAACTGGAATACTGAGCCCTTTCTAGTTTCTAGGCCTGTTTCTTTACCTGCAAGATGAGGATTTGGCCAAGCTGCCTTCAGAGTTCTAGCTTTCTGATTGCACCCCCCAAACACTAGCGCAAGAAGCGGCGGTAAGAAGGATGCCCTCTGTAGGGGTGGGGGCCAGATGGGGGAAGGCCAGCCCTTTGGACGACCCCGGTTGAGGCTGGGCCAAGAGGCCCTTCCCCCGCGCCCCGCCCGCGGCCTCTGGCCCAGCCGCCGGGAGGGCCGGGCTTCCGCCTCCACGTTCTTGTTCCCGATTTGGGCCACGCCTCCCTTGGTCCGGGCTCGGGATGCCTCGCTATAACCGCCCCGCCCGGGTCCCAGAGTAATGGGGGGCTTGTGGGGTGGCACAGTGTAAGCCTCCACCCACATCAGAGACCAGTGGACAGAGTTAAGGGGAAGGAGAGGGAGATACTTTTAAAGAAAGGCTAGTGAAAACTCAAGGGTAGGCCTCAGGGCACAAATGCGGAATTTCAGTCCGACGTCCCCTCTCCGTCCCATCTCCCGTCCACACAGTAGCCCCATCCGCACCTGCGAGAGTGACCCTGCAAAACACTGGCCCTTTAAACAGAAGGCCGGCGGTGCGGGGTGTCCATGTGGAGCTGCTCCATGCCGTGTTGTCCTGCCCGCCCATTGGCCCGTGGCCCGATGACGTCGCCTAATAGAATGCTAACGCACTGCGGGGGGAGGAATGGAGACAAAACGCGGCATCGGATCGCCACTCCGCTCCCTCCAGGTTCCCCGGCAGCCTCCGGCTGTCAGCTCCGCCCAGGGGCGGGTCCCGGGCCCGATTGCGACAGCCCGGTGGTTGCAGGAATTAGGTCACGTGTGGGTAGGGAGCGGAGACCCAAAGATCAGGCCGGTCCCTACCATCCTAATGTTTCCCTGACCTAAAATGTCCTTATTTGAGCTACTTAAGTGATGAATTTTCCACCTTTCCTTCCCTCCAGCAGGACAAATTACGTTGTGAATGATCCAAACACACAGCCACAACCCTGGTTCAACTTGTGGCACACAATCGGGGCGGGGCGAGGCGGGAAAGCGGAAACGAAGGGCGCGAACCCGGCCCGAGCTCCCACCCCCACCCAGGCCACGTGTGCTCGCGCCGTAAGTGGGTGGGGACTGCTGGCTCCCGCCCCCGCCCCTCCCTCCGTGAGACGCCGCGGCCCTGCGGGTGGGGGCTCCGGTCCGGGCTTTGGCTGCGGCCCCGGTGTAGTAGCGGGGGCGGCGGCCGGGGGTAGCGCGGCTCCTTCCCTTGTTGTGTGTGTCGGTGCCTCCTCGCCATCTTGTTGCAAAGCCTTTTCTTGTCGGCGGGACTCCCGGGGGCCGCGGGGCGGGGAGGCAATAGAAGGAAGGAAGAGAGAGAGGGGAAGGAAGAAGGCAGTGCCGCTTTTTTTTTTCTTTGCACCAAATTATTTTAAATTTGCAAATTATATTTTGCAAACATTTTGGGAGACATTGATTTTCCTGCCCGTGCTCCCCCGTTCTTGCCTGCCGAGTGCGCTGCGCCGCCCAGCCCTGTCGCCCCCCGGAGGTGATCCCTCCCTCCTGCCTGCCCGCCAGCCTGTCCTGTGCCTGGCTCGCGGGCCGCAGTCTTGGCCCCGGCGCGCCCCCGGCAGCTCTCAGCGCGATGAGCATAGAGACGCTCCTGGAGGCGGCCCGCTTCCTGGAATGGCAAGCGCAGCAACAACAGAGAGCACGTGGTGAGCGGCGGGGCTGGGCCCCTGGGGCACCCGGGAAGGGGAGGCGAGCGACCCGGGTCCCCGAACCCACGCCGAAACCGCGGACAAGACCCTCTCCCGGGCGGCCGGCGAAGCTAGCAGCGCTCGTCGCAGGAGCCGCCGCCCGGGGAGGGAGGAGCGTTGTGGGCAGGGGAATTAATGACTTCATTAGCATGCAGCGAGGGGCCCGGCTCCCGTGAGCGTCACCCCAGGTGCCTGCCACCTCGTGTGCGCCTTTTGTGGGGCTCCCTTCGCGTGGGTCAGCGCGCCCCCCGTAGCTTTGGATATGTGAGAGCCGGGGTTGGGGTAAGCAGTGGTGTTGCGTGGGGGTGGCAGACCGGTGTGTGCGTGTGCGTGTGTGTGTGCACGGGGAATGTTTGATGGGAGCCTGGAGGGGAGCGGATGAACGGACGTGTCCATGGGCGAGTGTACAGTGCACACGAGTGGGCGTGTGAGTAACGGAGTGTGGGGTAGGAATTACTCTACGCGGAGCAACTCCCCAGCTCCCCTCGCCTTATGGGGCGGGGGCGGGGGGCACTCCCGGCAGATCTACGCGCCGCTGGGGCGGAGGCGGCCTTTGCAGAATGAAATGACATCGCGTGTCTTATGATCCGGGCCAGCCCCGCCTGACCCCGCCTCCCGGAGCTCGGGCTGGGTCTAGCGTCCGGGGTTTGGGTGAGAGCCGGCTGATTGGGCGTTTGAAAGACGGCCCGCACGTCGCTGGGGGCAGCCCCGGGGCCCCCTTTTCCGCGCCCCACTTTAGCTGGTGTGGAATGTGGCGTGTCTGCGCGTTCCAGACCCGCTTTCGGCTGGAATGTTGCGTGTGTCTGCGCACCCAGCCCGTTGGTTACACCGGCTGGTGACGTGGACGGACCCCGCCCCCGACCACGTGCACGGGGGACACTCCCGCTAGGGACGGCGCGGCCGGCCCCTCCTCGCCGCCTCGCGCTCGGCCGGAGGCGGGGTCTGGGCGGGGCTGGCCGGCGGCCTGGCGCTCGGTTGGGCCCTGGCTCTGGTCGCGGAGTCTCTCTCCGGGAGAGCCTTTTCCCTGCGAAGGAGGAGCTGGGCTTACCTGTCGGTTCTCGCCCCAACCTCCTGTTTTTGATCAGGAGACGAGGGAAACCCTCGGAATTGCAGAACAGCAGGATATTTAGAGCTCACGCATTCCCACTGACCCCAAAAACGTTCTCCCCGGGATCTCCTGGCGGCACCCCCGGTCATATTGTGGAATGAGCCGGGCTAAAAAGGGGCAAACTTTGGCGCTTCCAGGACAGAGGAGAGAGGGAGGTTTCAGATGCCCCCTATCCCCGCTCGCCCTTGCTGATGACCCCTAGCTGCAGGGAGCTGCAGAAAAGGGGGCTGGGGAAAGACCCGTTTTCCGTGCTGCTGCTGGAGCCCCATCCCTCCTCAGTCGGTGTGTGCAGCATCGGGGGATTCCTGCCCTCCTTAACCCTCCCCCTCCCACCCCTGCAGGCGGGTTGGTGGTGGTGATTTCGCTTCGCCCTCCTTTCCTTTCTCTCTGCCTATTGTTGCTTCAATGATGAGTCATGCAGGAGGTAGTAGTGTGTGTTAAGTGTGCGCGCGTCGGCGCGCGCGCCTGCTGCCGCGCCGCCGAGGCTGCGCCGGCCAGCGGCGGGGGGGCGGGGGGGGGGGGTGGGACGCAGCCGCCCGGGGTCCGGGAGCAGCGGGTCGGATGGCTTAGTTGGCTCCACGGATCTCTCAAGGTCAAAAGTCACTCGAGATATGTGAGACTGAGATGCTTGGGTTTTTCAGAACCGATGAGCTAAGACATCAACCCAAACGCCCCTCCCCCTTGTCTTTGGGGTCCAGAGTAGGGTCAGGCGGGGGATAGTGTTGATGGTGACTAAGAACTGCGTGCCTAGAAGCAGGAGGAGGAGCTTGCACGAGATTTGTAGAGACTGAGTCACCTGCAGCCACCATCAATACAATTCAAGAATACCTATTGTGTCTCCATTGTGTACCAGGCACGGTGCTAGGGGTGGAACAGGATTGACCCTGACCTTGTCTAGAGGAAACATTCACTTCATCTTTACTACCTGCAGGCTAGTTGGTCATATGGGAAAAGGGAGAAGACCCCCACTATTGTCTGTCCACCCTTTCCAAAATAAGTAAGTCCACAGCTGACCAGTAAGGACAGGGAGGATGTGTGCAACTCTGTGAAGGAACCTGGGAATGGTTTCTCTCCTAAGAAGTTGCAGAGCCCTGCCCTCCCCCCACATGGTGAGACCTGGAGGTGAGTTGAAGCCCAGTTTAGCAGCCCAGTCACAGCTTGTTGGTGGGCAGGTTCTTAGTGGATGCTGGAAAGCCAAATCTACACCAAAAACTCAAGTGCAGATGGCTAGATCAGGCCACGGCAATTTGATCTCCATTATTTATTTTCTCCTTGACAAGGCCTGCCCTCAGACTGGGAATGGGACAGGAGGGAATGGTGCATGAACCTTCTGATCAGAACTGCTGTCCCAGCTTATGTACCTGATGAGCAGCTCTGAACAGGCAGCCTCTGTGCATTTAAACAGCCAGATTGCTCACACGATGAACCTGAGGATGTGTGTGCCTGTGTGTATGAGAGAAAGGAGAGGGAAGGCACCTTCATCCTGGTGGTTAGCAAGAGGGGATGGCTCCATTGGGGGACCCTTTTCTACCTTGATGGGAGGACGCTGGCCAAGCGTCCAAGACTTCTGACCTAGTTGCACCCTGGATGAACCTGCCTTATGTGCCAAGCTCACTGTTAGCATGCAGGAGGGGAGAATGTCCCTGAACATTTGGGGCCACCAGGTGTGGATGTCTCAAGCTTCAGCCCTATGCCAGCTGAGCCCCTGGGTCACAGTCCCTGGGGATGGCTGAAGGGAGCATAATGCCAGTACACTCCACTGACCCCAGGTGGGGTGGGGTACAGCCTCTGGGCAGAGCCCAGGGAAGTTATCAGAGTGTGTGGGAGTGAGAAGTGAGTGCACCCATGAGTGCAGCAGAGCATTATTTAAAAGAGCCTAAACCCATATGCTCCTGAGGGAGGCCCCGAGGGACTGCCAGCTCGCTCCCCTAGACCGTCTTCCCCTCCACAGTGCACTGGGAGAGGGTAGCCACTGGGTTGGGATTGCATCAGAGCTGGTGGGCGGAGGCAGGAAGCTTTGGTGGGCTGGATCTGGCCCGGGCTCTCCCGTTCTTTACCACCAGTTAAGCTTTTTCGTGCTGACCCGGGTGTGATAAGAGTATGGCCTTTCACTTGGGTCCTTCTGGCACCTGTGAGGGTACCTCCTTGGCTTTGGAAGAGAAAGCATAGATGAGGAAATTGCCATCTCCCAGGTGAACTTTGGAGTTGCTTTAAAAAATGGAGAATATGAGGTTTGCCTTCAATCTGAGTTCCAGGTCACCTATCCTTGGGATTGGGGCCCTGTCTCTCCCTCTAAATATGGGAGAGTGGAATACTTGACCAGAGGCCAATGAAAATTTGGGTCCCGGTTCCAAGGAATGCAGGTGGGCACTGTGTTGAGCTCTGAGTTCCAGGGTCTTATGTTGAGTGTGGGGAGGGGAGGGGAGAGGTGAAGATGGTGCAGAGAGGTGGACTAGGGATGTCCCAGGCGGGGCCTGAGAAGGACTCCATAGCTGGAACTCAGCGGTTTCTTTCCCAGCGTTTCTGTAGGAGCGGGAGCAGAGAGCTGGTTTTCTCTGGGGCTGGAACACAGTCAGTGCTGGCTGGAGAGCCGCCCCTCATTGGAGTAGGCCTGCTCTGGCCGGCAGCTCCCCTTCCTGAAGAGGCCGGTGCTGACCTGTCCAGCTCCTGAGCTCTGGCTGCTGGGAAACCACTGAGTGCTTCCCCTCTCAGAGCACATCCCCCTCTACTTCCTCCTTTGCCTCTGTGGGGGGAGGGGCTCAGAGCAGGCCTGGCTCACTCAAGTTGTAGATTGGCTAAAGGGCCCTGAGCTCTAAGGTTTTCTGGGCCCCCGGAGCCCGACAGACAGGTGGGGGTTGATGTCCTCCTGCTGAGGGAGGCAGTTTGCCAACCTCATCCCTCAGCCCACTCCTTGTGGGGTGGCCTGTTTGGGGAGTGTCCATGCTGTCAGCTGGGTTAGTCTGCCTAGTGGTGAAGCCCCGCAGGAGGAAGGGCAGGTTGACCAGCCTGCTCCCTGGGCTGGGGCCTGCAGCCGCTCCCCAGAGTCCTGGCCCAGCTCTGGAGCCAGGGACCCTAAAATGGAGCAGAGCAGCATGGGCCGCTTCCCTTACCCCTGTTCCCAGCTGCTAAACAGGCCTCCCTTTCCTGCAGGGCTTTCTTTCAGCAGAGATGCTGGACGATGTTGCAATGTTGCCTGAGCTCGTTGCCTTGTTCAGCCTCTATTAAAAAGGCCATGGCTTTCCTTTCTGCCTGCCTCGTACCTTTCTAGTTTATGCTGCTGGGTGAGGTGGGTGGGATTTGAGGGAAATGAAGTTGCAGCATGACAAAGGACAGAGAAGGACCAATTTATGTTTTGTAGGGTCTCTGAGGGAACCAGAGGCATTGAGACATAGCCTTAGGAGTCCCAAGTCCTGAGCCTGTTTTCCCCATGTGTGATTTTCCTGCCCCACCTGTGGTGGGGGGCTCTTGTGAGGACCAAGGTGTGTGTCGACACCTGGTGGCATATGTTGGCACAGTAGGTGCCAGGCATCCACCCTGTGTCAGAGAGATCTGGCTGGTTCCATTTTACCTGTGACCTGCTGTTGGACCCTCAATAAATCACTTAGTCTCTCTGAGCTAATTTATCTCAATCTGTGAAATGAAGGTACTGCTTGCCTTCTTTTATATATATATATATTATTGCTTTCAGAGAGGAAGGGAGAGGGATAGAAACATCTATAATGAGAATCACCGATAGGCTGCCTCCTGCACTCTCCCCCTCGCCCTCACCAGAGATCGAGCCCACAACCAGGCATGTCTGGAATTGAACCCGGGAACCTTCAGTCTGCAGACCAACACTATCCATTGTGCCAAATTAGCTAGGGCGGTACTGCTTGCCTTCTGTTGGTATTGTTGAAGGTCTTGCCCGGAAGCTATGATCTGTCATGGACTAGCCTCTGCCCAGCTCATCTATCACCCTTTTGCTCCTGACCTTTGATCAACTGCCTAACCCTTCAAGTGGCTAAGCCTCCAGCATCCTCTCTGACAGCTCCCACTCCAAGGCCTGTCTTCTCTCGTAGCCTGGATTATTATCCCGTTACTTGCCCCTTCCGCTACCTCCAGGCCTTGAACTCCCCAAAGGCAGAGAGTGGGTTCGTTTCATTTGCTCATTGCTGTGCCACCAGCACTTAGCCCAGAGCCAAGCTGGGTAAGGATGGATATTTGTGGCATTTCAAGCTGAGCAGAGGTGTCACTGAGCCCTGACTGGCACAAGGTCAGAGGGTGGGTCATGCTCTGCTGGTGAAGGACAGGTGAAACTGAAGCCCAGGACTGTGGGTCCCGCTGAGACAATCTTTGTGTTCCCTCTGCGTAGAGGAGCAGGAGCGACTTCGCTTGGAACGGGAGCAGGAGCAGAAGAAGGCCAGCAGCCTGGCCAGGCTGGCCCATGCCCTGCCTGTGGAGGAACCCCGCATCGAGGCACCACCCCTGCCTCTGTCGCCACCAGCACCCCCACCAGCACCCCCACCAGCACTTGCCACCCCCACCCCACTGACTGTCATTCCTATTCCAGTAGTGACCAATTCCCCTCAGCCCCTGCCCCCACCCCCACCACTGCCCCCTGCAGCCCAGCCTCTGCCCCTGGCACCTCGCCATCCCACCCTGATTAACACCCCTGGACTCAGCATTAAGGATTCTGCTCCCCTGCCCACCAGGCCACAGGTGCCCACCCCTGCACCTCTACTGCCAGACTCCAAGCCCACTGGCAGCCCCAAGCCTTTGCAGCCCCTCCCCACACCCATCCTGACCATAGCACCACACCCTGGAGTCCAGCCCCAGCTGGCCCCCCAGCAGCCACCCCCACCCACTCTTGGGACCCTGAAGTTGACACCAACTGAGGAAAAATCCAGCGAACAGAAGAAGAGGCCTGGGGGGTAAGTGAGGTGTGGCCGAGTTGGGGTTGGTGGAATGGAAAGAACTGCCCGCCCCCATGGGCTGTGTGTGCAAGAGAAAGTACCTTCCCAAGCTAGCCCTTCAGAGCTATGCCCTCCCTACCTCTCCAGCCAGAAAAGCGCCCTCCCGTATTCGCACACAGTCTCACTCTGGGGCGTCTGTATTCTCTCATTCCGTGCAAGGCTGGAGCTGATAGTATCTGTAGGCCTTTGGAAAGAGTGTTGCATTATGGGTCTCCTGGGAGAGGGCTGGAATCGCCTGGGATATTTCTTTGAGCCCAAGGAGCCCGCTGTCTGAGGTGGGATGGGGGGGTTTAAAGGGGTTGTTAAGTATGGGCATCCATTTACCCTCCACGGGGCGAACCTTTCCCCTTGTTGCTTTTATAGAGAGAGAAAGTCCGGAGAAAAAGCCTGTGGCATTTGTGCGTGGGGGTAGGGGGCGGAAAGGCCGCCTAATGGGGCCCTCCTCCCTGAGCCTCCTGTCTGTCTGGGTTGCAGGATCGGAACCAGAGAAGTCCACAACAAATTGGAGAAGAACAGGTGTGTGTGCGTGCGTGTGTGTGACCTGGCTCTGCCCCCTGGTCCCCAGCTCTCCTCGTGCCTCCCCTCCCCCTCCTCCCCCCCTCCCGGCGCCGGCTGACCAGCGCTGCCCGCCCTCCTCTCCTCAGGAGGGCCCATCTGAAGGAATGCTTTGAGACCCTGAAGCGCAATATCCCCAACGTGGACGACAAGAAGACCTCGAATCTGAGCGTGCTGCGGACGGCGCTGCGGTACATCCAGGTACGGAGCGAGGAAGCCTAGCGGGGGAGAGGCGGGCGGCGGCGCGGCGCAGCGCCGGCTTCCTCCCCGCGGCCCTCCGCCCCTCCGCCCCTCCGCGGCTCCGCCCGCCTCCACGCGGGCGCCGAGCACATGGCGGCTGACGTCAGCGGGGTCCCCGCCCGGGAGGGAGCGGGAGGGCGCGTGCGCCTGCGCAGGGAGGCGGCCCCGCCGGACAGCCCCGCGGAGCCCCGCCCATCGCCGGGCCCCGGGACTAACCCGCGCCCGCCCCGCGCTGCCGCCTGACGCCGCGGGTGGGGAGGGCGTGGGGTGGCCCGGACCTCCGCCCGCTCACCCGCAGTGCCCGGGCGGAGCCGGATTCCACCCGTCTCGTGGGTGGGGTCCCCTGGGCGTGGCTCCTTCCACTCGGCGGCGCGCGCCGACGAAACTCCCTATTTTCACCCCAGGATAAAGATCGACTGAGGTGCACGGCCCGTTACACCTGGGGTTAGGGAAGTGCGGTGACAGATCGCCCCTGTGGCACCGAATCCTTAAGAATGACGCTTTCCTTTCCTCAGGATTGTTAAAAAGCCCTTTCCGAGCGACCCTCCTGGCTGCGGCCCCTCCCTCCGGGCATTGGTCCTCAGTCTGAGGGTCGGGGGAGGGGAGGAGGTTGCCCGTCAGATAAGACGGTTGCCATGACCGCCGAGTTTCGGTTTCCTTGGAAACCAGCCGTAGGTTCGCGTGCGGGAAGAGGCTGTGGGGGTGGGGCGGGCCGCCACGCACGGCTGCCGCAGCGACGGAGTCGGAATCGGCCGCTGGGGGAGTGGGAGGGCCTACGGCTCCCTGCCCGCGCGGGGCGGGGGCGGAGGCGCCGCGGGTCTCCCAGTCGGCGGGCTCGGGAAGCCTGAGGGCTGGGCTGGAAGCCAGCGGGGGAGCACCACCCCTCCCTCGGCCTCAGCTGCGGGGTCACAGCCCTGAGGTAACCGCTGCCTGACTTGTTGAAGGGCGGACGCACTGCTGCTCCGCCGCGGAGCGTCTCACCAGCGCGCGCCCTTCCGCCCGCCCTCAGGCCGAGGGGGCGGGGCTGGCACACTTCCCAGCTCCCGGGAGGGGCGGGGCCGGCCCGGGGATTGGTCGGGCCGGGTGGGGGCGGGGCTCCTGAGCGCGCGGAGGCGGGTGGGCCCCCGGGGTGACACAGCAAAGCCGGGTCCGCGTGGGTGTGCGCGTGCTCCTGGAGGGGCGGGGCGGGGCGCCAGCGTCCGGGACGGCTCGGGGCGGGAGGGAAGGGCCGGGCCGGGGTTTTAAGACCGTACCCCGGAGACTTATTTCTGGGATGTTTTTTCAGAATTTGGGCTTAAATGTAAGCTACTGGTCTTTCAGTTATGTAGCCTGGGAGCAAATCCGTGTGTGTGTGTGTGTGTGTGTGTGTGTGTGAGAATATGAATACCAGTTTCTTCTGTACTGTTGTGACGCTAAATAGGAAAAAAATAAATTAAAAAGTGTCTTCATAATGGGAATGTTAGGAGGATTGGCCTATAAATACTAATAGCAGTTATTGAGAAATGGGAAGGTTACTCTTTATAGACACATACTTAGGGAAGGAAGTCTTGCTATGGGTTTGAAAGTATATCATAGAGATTCAGTGGAACCAGCAAACTTGGGATATTTGCTTGGGCTGAATCGGAAGCAAATTGGATACAGGTTGTCCGGAGAGATACTTGTCCTGGGGCTGGCAATGGAAGCAGAAACTTACAAGGCTGTCTGTAAATCCTCACATTCACTCATTTATTTATTCATTCAAGCACTGTGTCTGATTCTGAGGATAAAGCAGGGCATAAAGAAAAAAGTTATGGGTCTCTGTCCTCATTGGTTTGGTCTTGTGTTAGATTATAAAGAAATAAACCAGCCGGGACCGGTTTGGCTCAGTGGATAGAGCATCGGCTTGGGGACTGAAGAGTCCCGGGTTCGATTCCAGTCAAGGGCATGTACCTTGGCTGCGGGCATATCCCCGGTGGGGGGTGTGCAAGAGGCAGCTGATCGATGACTCATCGATGTTTCTGGCTCGCTCTCTCTCCCTTCCTCTCTGTACAAAATCAATAAAATATATATTTTTAAAAAAAAAAAAAGAAAAGAAATAAACCAGAGGACTGTGCCATAAGGTTAGGGGTTACAGTATTTGTTCTGGGGAGTTGTTGCTGAGGACAGAGCATTTGACTTGAGACCTAAAGGTCTCAGACTGACCTAAGCAAAGTTGAGGGCAGAGAGCACAACACAGGCCAAAGTTTCTCTAGCAAGAGGATTGCCATACAGAGATGGGAGGCAGCAGCATGCAAGATGGGAGTTGAGAGAACTGGAGAGACCATGTAGGGCGTGTACACTGGGCTTTGGTGGCGTGCTGAGGCAGGAAGCTGTGGGAAGATTAGTCCCCAGCCAGACCCAGAGTAGCTTGGAGGTGGTAAAGTATTTGAAAAATGACTGTTAAGTGGACAGAGACAGGAAGAGGAGGAGTAAGCAGGTACCAAACCACACATCCAGGTAGTCTTAGAAAGGAAATGGGTTTAAAACGAAGCAGTGTGTGTTCAGCTGGTGTTGCTTAGTGGTTGAGCCCTCAACCTGGGAACCAGGAGGTCACAGGTTTTGATTCCTGGTCAGGGCACATGCCTAGGCTTCAGGCTCGATCCCCAGTAGAGGTTGTGTAGGAGGCAACTGATCTATGATTCTCTCTCATCATTGATGCTTCTATCTCTCTCTCTGAAGTCAACTTAAAAAATATTAAAATGAATCAGACTAAAGTTATACCCTGGGAAAACTTTCAGGGGCTTCTAGGCCTGTGGGGAACTGGGCTGGGTGAGAAAAGGAGGTGTGGGCCCCAGATGTCCTCTCCCCCTGCGCCAGAAGTCTGTCTTTCCTGCTAGCAGGTAAAGATCGGGAGGCACTTCCAGCCCTCGGCAGCCTGGTTGGAGTGAAGGTTGACTCACCAAATGGCTCTGTCATTTATGAGGCCTCTACTGACGTCATGTCTAGCAGTGGCCTCTTTGGGTGAGAAGCCAGACAAGTGTGTGTGGGTAAGAGGAGGGGGCCTTTCTGGCAGAAATATGGGGAGAAGCAGGTTGATCTCAAAGCCAGGAAGATAGAGGGGGCTGTGTGGCCTGGGACGGGCTATAGAGGTGTAAAGCTACCAGGTTTCAGGCTACTACAGAGCATGGCTGTGTCTGAGCTTTGTGCTGCAGGCACTAATGGTTTGAGGGATCTCTCACTGGTCAGGTAAGGAATTAAGGGCTGTAGGAGGGAGCATGGGGAAGTTGGGCCTAGTTGGTGTGTAGAATTGAAGGCATTGCTATGCCCAAGACGGGTAGGTGAACAGTCAAGAGAGGCTGCCCTTAGGAAATGAAGTGATGGAAGGCTCAAGCCTAATGGGTGACTGAAATGAAGGGAGAGACAGGTTGGAGGTGGGAGCTAACACACATTCCTCCTCACAGATTCTTCCCCTGGGCCACGTGAGACATTGTCCATAGCTCTGTCCAGGCCACTGGTGGAGTCAGGGGCTATGCGCTAACTATGGAAGAGTCCTTGCCTCTCTCACGGGGTCAGACAGGACAGTGTGTATGCGGTGGAAACTGAACTTGAAATATTTTGTGATATGAGTCATCGTGTGATTAAGTGTAACCTGACAGTCTCATTAAATGCTCAGGTACGTGGTGGATGTCAGGAGGGTGTATTGTTGAGGGCAGTGGAGGAGGTGGGGCCCAAGTGTGGTCTTGGAGCACAAGCAGGTAGACTGAGTAGGGTGAGAAGGGCGAATCCACATGTGAGCATCTGGATCCATAATGGGAGAAGCAAACTAAGGCCAAGTGGTGAGTTTGATATATGGAGAGCCAGGGAGCTCTGCACCTGACCGTGACTGGCAAGCCTGGGAAGCTAGAAGCTCAAGAGCAGTTCAGTAAGAGACTCAGGAGGTAGCAGGGCAGGATGGTCTGTGTCATCTGGTTGACCCAGCAGTCGTGACATGCCTGGGCTGAGGAGAAGCCAGCAACAGGGAGGCCTGTGAAGCTTAGGTTGGTGTAATGGTTTCAGAGTCAGGAGGTCATGGAGGATGGGTGAGACTTGAGGTGGAGGGCAGCCAAGAACTAGGACATGAGCTGGCATTTTGGAGCTGCTGTTAAGCCCCATGCAGAGGGAAACTGGAGACCCTTCTGATAGGGAGCAGTGCCACAGTCTGAGAGATGGGGCATCCAGCCCCTATGAGAGGGGTCAGCCTAAGGGGCACATGGTCACCTGTGGCCCTGGAGAACTTGAGGGAGAGATGGCACCTTGCACAAGGGTGTTCTTAGCGAAGTGGGTGACATCAACTTCTCGGGTGAGAGTGACATGGAACCTATGGTGACAGACAGAAGCCTCTCCAGTGGTGCTCAGTCAAGTCAGCGATGCTGTCCAGCACCCCAAGAGCCATTCTCATTGATCATTGCAACTCAGGTACAGGTGTTAGAGGAGCACATTCCAGGGCTGAGGGTTGTCCGGTAGCTGGGTGGGTGTGTGTGTGTGTGTGTGTATGTGTGTGTGTGTGTGTGGCTGTGGGCAGTGTGAAAACAGAGGCTGGGGAGGAGACCCAGGTGGGCACCTCAGGGAGTAACGTAGGAGGCCAGAGAGGAGGTGCATAGCCAGCAGCCGCTGGGGGCCATTTGGAGGCAGAACAAGAAGATGAAACGTGGGGTTTTACAAAGGCTAGGGGTCATCCTCTAAGAACACTGAGTTAGGTAGACCAGTGAATAAGGAGGTGGAGAAAAGGGCTGACCCATTTGGGGTCCTATGGAGAATGGGTTTCAAGAGGATAGCTTACGGCATCAGTGGGTGGCATAATAGAATGAATGGTGGTATGTATGGGCCTTGGGTGGTGGTCGGCAAACTCAGTCAACAGTGGGCAACAAACTCAGACCCAAATAGCAACAGTACAACGATTGAAACTTCTTTTGAGAGCCACATTTTTTAAACTTAAACTTCTAACTCCAATTCTTCAAAATAGACTCGCCCAGACCATGGTATTTCGTGGAAGAAGGGTCAAAGAGCAGCATGTGGCTCGAGAGCTGCAGTTTGCCGACCACGGATCTTGGACATTACCTGAGAAATCTGTGACACCTTTTGTCATCTGCAGAATGGAGGGAGATGCTGCCAGGAGAGCGGGTGGGGCAAGAGGCAGCGAACCCTGCCAGAGAGTTGATGTGGAGAAGGGGAAGTCGCTGACCTGGATCTGTGCTTTCTTTTAATGACGCCTGCGGAGAGCCCACAGTCCCTGGGACACTGAGCCTCCCTGGGCAGAGCGATGGCCCAGGAGGCAGGTGGGGTCTCCAGCAGCCCCCTCATCACTGCAGACCTGCCCCTGTGGGCCAGGTGACCTGGAAGCAAGGGTGGCTGTGGGGAGATGTTGGCAGTATTGTGGGCCCCGAGGTGGCTGCTCAGGGTATCCTGCTTTTCCTTGCCTTGCTCTCCAGTCCCTGAAGAGGAAGGAGAAGGAATATGAGCATGAGATGGAGCGGCTGGCGCGGGAGAAGATTGCCACGCAGCAGCGGTTAGCAGAGCTCAAACATGAGCTGAGCCAGTGGATGGATGTGCTAGAGATTGACCGTGTTCTCCGACAGACAGGCCAGCCCGAGGACGACCAGGCTTCCACCTCTACTGCCTCTGGTGAGCCCCGCCTCTGACATGTCAGGCTTCCTGGCCAGGCCTTCGCCTGCTGGGAAAGTGCCCTCCCACTCCAGCCCCGTGAGGTCCCCAGGCCCCAGGGGCATTTATTTCTCCAGCCTCGTGTTTCCAAGTCCTCTGACCTATCCCTGTCCTCGTGTCCCCACAGAGGGCGAGGACAACATAGACGAGGATATGGAGGAGGACCAGGCCGGCCTGGGCCTACCCAAGCTGAGCCATCGCCCCCACCCGGAGCTGCCGAAGCCACCGCCCAGCACCGCCCCTGCGTCTCTGCCTCCCCACCCACACCCCCACTCCCAGCCTGTGGCCCTGTCTCCTGCCCATCAGCAGCCGCCGCCACAGCAGAAGACACCTCTGCCGGCTCCTCCCCCCCCACCAGCTGCCCCTGCCCAGACGCTGGTGCCAACTCCAGCCCATTTGGTGGCCGCATCTGGGGGAGGCTCCACGGTCATCGCCCACACAGCCACCACCCACGCCTCAGTCATCCAGACTGTGAACCACGTTCTCCAGGGGCCAGGCGGCAAGCACATCGCCCACATCGCCCCCTCAGCCCCCAGCCCTGCTGTGCAGCTGGCACCTGCCACACCCCCTATTGGCCACATCACAGTGCACCCTGCCACCCTTAACCACGTGGCCCACCTTGGCTCCCAGCTTCCCCTGTACCCACAGCCTGTGGCAGTGAGCCAGCCCGTGGCGGTGAGCCACATTGCCCACACCCTCTCGCACCAGCAAGTGAACGGCACAGCTGGGCTGGGGCCCCCCACCACCGTCATGGCAAAGCCAGCCGTGGGGGCTCAGGTGGTGCACCACCCCCAGCTGGTAGGCCAGACAGTGCTCAACCCTGTGACCATGGTCACCATGCCCTCCTTCCCGGTCAGCACACTCAAGCTGGCTTGAGGATGAGGCCACTCAGAGGCCCCCAGTGGGGGCAAGGAAGGGGACCCGTCCCCACACTCTCCCACCAGCTCCACACATTCCAGTCCGGCCCAGGCCCACCCCACCCACACCCACCCCCAGGCCTCCTAGGGGAAGGGGGTGCAGAGACGCTGAGCCAGGGGAGGGAGGGGCCGCCCAGGAAGCTGGGCACAGGGGTTAGCCCGCTGCACTAGGACTTGATAAAGCGATGAGAGACGCCCTGGTGGACGTGCTGCCGATTCAGCCTGGTGCTGTTCCTGCCTCCCTGTCCTGTCCCCCGAAACAGTTTGATGTGGATGTCGTGTTCTCTGCCTTCTCCCTCCCCTGCTGCCTTCCTGTGCTGCTGCTGCTGCTGCTATTGCTCTGTCTGGTGATGTGGCTGAGGAGCTGGGCCCTCCCTCCTGAGCCTCAGCCTCTCTTCCCAGGCCTATCTATGGAGGGGAAAGGAGGAGCTGAACTGAAGCAACTTGGCTCAGAAAGCTGGGGAGCTCTGTGGGCCCTATTCTGAGTACAGGTGAGAAGTCCTAGGAAGTGGCTGGTCTAAGTCCTACGCAGACAGGTGGGTGCCCAGCCTGGGCTTGCCAGTTGCAGTCACTGTGATTCTTTACAGCAGTAACTAGTTAGGATTTTCTACCAACAGTAAACCAAACCCAAGCTGTTGCCAAGCTTCTGAACCTTTCACCCCTTACTACTGGGCTCCTGACTTCAAGAGGGCAGGCGGGGGGGGATGACGGACACGGAGGTTCTTCTCTGTCCCCGTCGTCCCCATCTCCAGCTGGGTCTGGACTGAGCTGCTCTGGACCCGTGGCTTTTGGCTTCCAGAAAGTTGCCACTCCGATTCCCTGGCCTCTGCTTAATGCTCTGCACTCCCCTGAGGGATGGGTGCCTGGGTGCCACCTGGGAGACGTGGACCAGCATCTGGTCCGGGTTCTAGGAGCCTGAAGCCACACTGTTGAGGCAATTAGGAAGTGAAACAGCAGGGGTTCCTCTAGGCTCCCAGCCTTTCCCAAATAGGCCCTGGGGACCTGTGGAGGGAGCAGAGCCCAGTGCAGGGCTGCTGCTGCTGCCCCAACAGCGCTCTAGTGTCATCTCTGCCCTGAACGTTGCCCTTCTCCAGTGGGCGTCTGCATGTACCCTGCCTGGTGGGGACTTCTGTGTGCCACTGCCTTCCTCTGAGGAAAGGTCCTTAGTTGGGCCCAGGGCAGGGCTGAGCTTGGGGTGGAGAGGAAGGGGCTGGTGTGTAGGGGATGCCATTTTCCCTGCCTCCACCTTGGCAGGCTTTGAAGTCTTTTTAAAAAAAAGTATATTTTTATTGACTTTGGAGAGGGAGGGAGAGAGAGACAGAAACATCAATGATGAGAATCATTGATCGGCTGCCTCTTGCACACCCCAGCTGGGGATTGAGCCCCAACCCAGGCATGTGCCCTGACTGGGAATTGAACCGTGACCTGGTCCATAGGTCGATGCTCAACCACTGAGCCACTCTGGCTGGGTGGGTTCTCTTTTTATGTAGGTATTTATTACAAGTGGCCTTGTGTCAAACACACCGTTACACACACGGGCACACTTGGCTCCCCACCTGGACACATCAATGGCCTTTCAGTGTGGAGCGAGGATGCGAGTGTCCCTAGGTGTGAAGTTTGCACTGACAGGCTGGGGGTGGGGTAAGTGCTGGGGCCCAGGACCTTCTGGAGTGGCCCCAGCAGAGGTCTTGGATAGATTTATATGCCTAAGAACCCCCTTTCAGTTCCTCCCTGGTCCCGGAGGACTTTCTCCTGTGTCTCCTGGGGAAGGCCTTTCAGATGCCTTAGAGGCCTCCAGGAGAGAGTCCCGTACTGTCCCCAGCCCCACGCAGCGCTCCCACCTCACAAGCTTGCTGCCTTCTTGCACTTGCAGCCGCCAGCACCACCCCGGTTCTCTGTGGAGCCGCTTCCACTCCCGATGTGATTACAATGGAAAGAACAGGGAGAAGGGCAGGCCTGGTGCCCAGGGAATAGTCACACTGGTGAACCGCCTCTCCTCAGCTCCGTTCGCCTCCCCACATCCTGAGGCTGATCCGGAGTTAAAACTTGTGTCAGCCAGTTGCCCCTCGGGCCTGCACAGATACCTCATCCGCCCGCTGCCCGTGCCCCTCTCCGTCCCCAGCAGTGGGGGCTCTGAATCTAGTGCCGAATGACTATGTCCAGACTGGTGACGATGGGTGTTGCTGTTCTTGTTGTTTGTGAATGCTGTGACTCTGTGTGCCCGAGAGGGCAGCCGCCCAGCCCTTTGGGCATCTCCCTTCTGAGAGCTATCAGGACCACATCTGTCCTCACCCTGTGGGACCGCCTGCCCCTGCCCTCCCCTCCCTAGCCCTTCCAGCCTGGGGGACATGCGCACACACACATCTTACCTCTCATGCGTGTTTTACTTTTTGATGTTCAGAGTGGCTCACTGGCTGGGAATCTTTACCTCGGGGAGAGGGGGAGGTTGGTTCCTTGGGGGGGGCCAAAGAAGGGCAGGGAATGCCTGGAGGGATACGGGGGCGGGGGTCACCAGAACCCCTGCTCTCTCCAGGAACAGCTGCTGCTCCCCCATCCCAGGGTCCCACCCCCATCCCCCAAAGAGGTGGCCCTTGTTTACAGTGAGGACTCGGTCACTGTGTCTCCGTTTCCTGAAATATAAATCGTAGTGACCCCAGACTGTAGAGATTTTTATGTGTTTGGATACATCTGCTGTGTGGGAAAAAAAACTACAAAAAAAACCCTACTTTTGTACATATTGTATTTTTACTATTGAACTGTATTCTAGTGGCTGTTCATGCTCCAAGACTTTAGGTATTGAGACATGAATACTATCCATGTAATAAGCACTTGCCTGGAATAAAATATAAAATTGAAATAAACCTGCACTGAAACCTGAGACGGAGCTGCCAGCCTGCAGCATCTGGGTCCTTTTGTTGCAAAAGGAGGCAGGGCCCTCCAACAAGAAGCACCATGTCCCTTCCCTGTTGGTGTTTGCGGGATGGTTCTCAAGCAGCTTCGGTGCTGGTCCATTTTATAAGGTTAGAGACCTTCCTGTTCTGATGCCAGTGTTGAATCATCATCAAGCTCCCAGAACTCCAGTTCTGGTCTTACGCTCTTACAGTACTTCCTCAAGCCATTTTTACAAACACTATCTTGTTTTATCTCATAACAGTGAAGTAAAGCCAAGAACTAGTTCACTCCCAGCACCAGCCAGGGGTACTGACTGGTTTCTCTTTCAAGGGTGAGTCAGGGATGTAGGGCGTGTGTGTGTGTGTGTGTGTGTGTGTGTGTGTGTGTGTGTGTGTGTGTGATGTCATCCTCAGGGAAGGTAGTGGTGGCCACGAATGTACTGAGGTTCCATTATTTGAAGAAAAGTCAGCCTCAAAAGGCCAGATCGTGCCCCATAATTCCGCCAGCCCTTTTCACTTGTGAGATGCTGGCTCCCTCTACTGGTAGCTCCAGGGAGAGATGGGTGCCTTCAATTAAGGGAAGGCCAAAACTTAAATTATTTCCTGTGCATCCACTCAGTGTCAGACACCATGCCCAGCAATGGGACAAAGATGAAGACTGCCCCTGGTAATGGTGACCTAGAATCACCTGAGAGCTATTGCTATCATAAGGGTTGGCAGAAACTCCCCTCCCTGCACTCAAAGCACAGATTCCCACCCCAGCCTGAAAGACGGGCCTATGGCCAGGGCAATGGAAAACAGAAATCCCAAGTAAGAATCCAGGAGCTTCCATTTAGCAGCTCTGCTCACTCTGTGACAGAGGAAGCCTTACTAGAGTTAGAGGGATGATGTTTGCTCTCCTCACACTCCCTCCTCCTATCCACACACATCAGTTCACCCATCCTAGTTCTAGAAGCCCATTCAGGGCCTGGGGAGTGACAGCACCTCTGGGTGAGAGTGTGTGAAGGAACCAGGCCACATCCAGAGTAACGTACCAGGACCTTTAGTGAACTTTCAGGAGGAGTCACAGGTGAGGGAGTTCTGATTGCTCCAGGCACCAGGATCACCGTGGGAAAGGGGTGTTCTTTGAGGGGCTTATAAGGTTCCCTGGCTCCAGAGCTCCCTGTGTCAATTGGTTTCCTTGCATGGGCAGCTAGGAGTGAGCTGACAATAGGCCCAATGCCTATTGTCAGTGACTTCCAGACAAGACCATATGCTGGTGACAGGAGCCTCTCCCTGGGACCATGGGTGGTCCTCTGGGGTGGGAGAAAGGCAGGTAGGATAGTCAGAGGCCCTTTCCATGCCTCAGCAGGTTTGACTTCTTGAGGCTCCCCCCTAAGTTTGAAGCAGATATCTCCAAGACAGTGCTCAGTGAGCAGGGTCCTTCGCCATTGGCTGGAGGGGCTAGGAGGCTCCAGCTTATCATTGTAGCTGTTCAGGAGGTCAGACTGTGGAAGGCGTGGGACAGGGGCCTACACTAATCCAGAGAATGCAGAAGCCATTGGTCAGTCTGAGATAGGACTGCTGGCTCTAAGGGTTCTCTCTGGGCCTACTTATTATCTCCACCTCAACCTGCCCGTAGCCAAGGTGCCCCTCTTTTAGAAAATTTGGTTCTCTCTTTTCGCCATCCTTGCCTCACGGGCTTGACCTTCTTTACTGTTCTATTGTGGAGATGATAGTATTCCCACACAGTCACTCGCAGTCCAGCACAAGCCCACAAGCAGCCCCAGAGCCTCAAGCATTGCCAAATGCTGTGTTTATTGGTTTGTTACACTGAAGAGTATAGTTTCTGAGCCAAAAATCATACACACTCTGCTCCTCACAAAACCACTGAGTCACTAAGGCAGGCACACAATGGCCACCGTGCTTGGTGGAGGCTGAGGACTCACAGACAACAAGAGTGGGCAATGGGGTGGGCTGGCCCCCAAACAGGCCGTGCAATGCCTGGGACGGGGGTGGGCTGGGGAGCTGTGCTGGATGCAAAAAGGCTGCTGGGTCCTTTTTTTGTTTCTTAAATGCAGGAAGTCTCCAGACCTTAGTGGTTGCTGGGCAGGCCCCAGCCCTGTGGCAGAGTAGCCTCCGGGCCCTGGGGCAAGGCCCAGCCTGCATGTGTTGGGGGTGGGGGTGGGGGTGGGGATGGCAGAACAAGCAGCATAACATCTCCCCTCATGAGTGAGGTTCTTCCACGGGGGGTTCTGGGTACTTAGGCCTCTGGACATCCTGAGAAGCATGTGGAAGGCAAAGCCAACCTTGCTTTTCACCAGCAATAAACAGGGGAGACTCAGGCACCTCCTCCTTCCAGCCTTAGGACTCAGCGGACGCCTGGGATAGACGATGAGCTGCCCCCAAGTTTTGGGGCCACCTCTGAGAGGAGGCTGTGACAGGATCCCCTCCCTAAGGAATCACCTGGGATTCCTCTTGAGAGGTAGTGCTCCAAACACATTCCAGATCCTCCAGCTGGCAAAGTGTCATGTATATAGTTCTTAGGGCTGCATCTAATGCATAAAGCAATAGCAAGGTGGCAGGAGTGAGACTGTACAGATACACATGGGTGCACTGTACAGGCTAGGGGAGGGCATGGGGGCACCTCAGGTGGCCAAAGGCAGTGGCAGTGCTGCTGAAGTGGGCTGCTCTGCCCCACAGTCTCAGAGGAGGGCCTGGAAGGTGGCCCAGGAAACATGCCCAAACCTGCAGCCATTCTGGCTGCCCCGACTAGGATTGGTGCACACACATGCACTGGGCCTACAAAGGGACTATGCGAAGAAATACAACAGAGTCCCCTTGTCTCAGACAACCCTCACTAGTGGGGCCCAGGCATGTATAGCCCTAGTGACTCTACAAGGCCCCAGTCTGACCCAGGAGAGAGCATGGGGCACTCAGGCTGAGGCTGCAGGGGCAGTGGGGCTATTTCCAGGTGTTTGAGAGGGGAGCAGAGTAGGGTATTTCCCAGGTCAACTGCTCCCTGAGGCTGCCCTTTCCCCTCCTGGCCCTGACCTGAGGGTACCCTGGCCCCTGACTTGCCCTTCAGGGCCAGAACTGCCCGGAGTCGGATCCCAGGCTCACACTTTGTTAGGAACACAGCTGGACAGGCAGAGTTGGCTGAGAGGTGGGGCAGTCTCTGTTGTGCGCCCCTGCACCTCTCCCCGCGGAGCCCAGGGCCAGGAGCCAAGGCTGTGGCTGGCTGCTGCCTCCTGGCCCTCACTTGTTCTCTATGAGCATCTGCACCTTGTGGACGAGGTCCCGGGCAATCCGCAGGATCTCCTGGGCATCGTGATGCTCAGCTCGTTCTGGAGGAAACATGGGTAACGGTGGGGATGCTGGAGCGAGGGGAAGAGTCTGGGAGGAGCCCTACGGCTGCCCACCCTACTCCATTGCCACCTGCTGGACTCCTGACGTCTGTGTACGGGGAGGGGACTCGGCCTTTCTGAGCCTCTCCCACCCTGCCCAGGCCAGGAGGGAGGCCCCTACCCCCTTGCTGGGGACAGCCAGATGGCTGGACAAGCTCCTACCATTGAAGAACTTGATGATGTCGGTGAAGTCCATGTTGTTGTCACGGATAATCTCACGGTAGGCCTCTACCAGGGCCAGGGCAATGAATAGGACAAAGTGCTCTGACGAGATGTGCTGGGCCGCCCAGATCACCTCCCACACAGCAAACACATCCTCGTATAGCAGCTCTGCGGACGAAAAGGGGCTAAGGCTGAGTCTGGCCACCCATGGCCTCCAATGGGGCCACATATGGAGACAGAGCTCCAAGGGCCAAAGTTCTATTACATCACGCAGCCGGGTCCAAGAGGGGGTGGGTTTCATGCCTCAGGCCAAGACCGTGCCCTTCTCCTTGGTAATTCCTGCACACGAGGCTCCTGCAGACTCTTCTCTTCAGCTAAAGCATCTCTGCTTTTAGAAACCTCGGTGCACAGGGAAGATTTGGTTGGAAAAACAGTTCCAAAAGCCATTGTCTGAGGGTGATTTTCCACTCTGTCTTCACTTTGGATTCACCTAAAGAGCTTTTAAAATATTGATGCCTGCCAAAACCGGTTTGGCTCAGTGGATAGAGTGTTGGTCTGCGGACTGAAAGGTCTCAGGTTCGATTCCGGTCAAGGGCATGTACATTGGTTGCGGGCACATCCCAAGTAGGGGGTGTGCACGAGGCAGCTGGTCCATGATTCTCTCTCATCGATGTTTCTAACTATCTATCCTCCTCCCTTCCTCTCTGTGAAAAATCAATTAAAAAAAAAAAAAAAATATATATATATATATATAAAATATTGATGCCCAGGCAGCCAGTCACACTAGTAATCTGAGGCCAGGTAGAACCTAGAGCATTGGTGTTTCTAAAAAGTTGCCCTAGCCAGCTTGGCTTAGTGGATAGTGTCAGCCTGAGGACTGAAGGGTCCCAGGTTTGATTCTGGCCAAGAGCACATGCCTGGGTTGTGGGCTCGATCCCCAGTAGGGGGCATGCAGGAGGCAGCTGATAATGATTCTCTCATCATTGATGTTTCCGTCTCTCTCTCCTCCCTTCCTCTCTGAAAGAAATATATTATAATATAAAAATAAAAAGTTCCCCAAGTATGTACACAGATAATAATTTAATTTAAAAAAAGGTTAAAAAAAAAAAAAAGTTCCCCAAGTAGTTCTAAAGTTCAGTTAGGGTCCAGGACCTATGACTTTGGGGCAAAAGGGTCACCCAGAGCCCCTGACCCCAGGCCCACCATCCAACCCTCCTCTTACCTCTCTTAAAATCCAGCAGGAACCAGCGGTAACAGAAATAGAAATGGGTGTAATCTCCATTCTGATGCATCAGTTCAAACAGCTCTGAGTCCAGGATCTTGTGTGAGTGGGAAAAGAGAGAAGGACTGAGCTGAAGTGCCTCTTCCCTGCTGCCCCCACCCTCCTCCAGGCCCCTTCTGCTTGGCGTCTGGTAGCTGTGCTCAAGCCCCTCTTGTCTCTTAGGGTGCACTCTGCGGCCCCACGCATCTCTCTGGGCTGTAGTCTTTTTGGAGTTATATCATTTTCTGGATATTTGATTTTTCTTTTTTTATCCTTATCCAAGAATATGTTTATTGATTTTTGAGAGAGGTGGAGAGAGAGAGAAACATCAATATGCGAGATGATAAATTGATTGGTTATCTCCTGCATGCACACCGTCCAGGGATCGAACCCCCAATCTAGGCATGTGTCCTGACTGGGATTCCAATCCGCAACCTTTTGGTGTACAATGCTCCAACCAACTGAGCCACCTGGCCAGGGCTCTGGGTGTTTGACTTCATCAACCATACTATTCACCAGAACTTTCATGAGCACAAGCATTTACATGCTGATATTCCTCTCCATTTCTAACAGTGAAAACAATGTGTTTCCAGAAACAAACTCATAGATACGGAGAACAAACTGATGGTTGCCAGATGGGAGGGGTTTGGGGGCTGGGTGGAAAAGGTGAAGGGCTTAAGATGTACAAATTGGGAGTAACAAAAGTCATGAGGATGTAAGCTACAGCAAAGGGAATATAGTCGATAACACTGTAAAAACTATGTCTGGTGCCAGGTGGGTACCAGACTTATGTGGGCATCACCATGCCTCCTAAGTTAAGAATATGTCTAACCAGTATGCTGTACACCTGAAATGAATATAATATTGAATATCAAGGGGGATCCAAGACGGCAGCAGAGTAGGTGGAAGTTACACTCACCTCCTCCCAGGTCCAAACTGGAATTACAACTAAATTATAAAACAATCCAAACAATCAAATGAACAGAAATCTTATTACCAAGGACTTACAGAAGAAGCCACAGGTGACTGGTAGGAAGGGCAGAGGCGTGAAAAGGGCTGGCCCTGCTCCCCACGTGGCGGCTGAGATTCTGAAGGGATATCTCAGCTGCAAAAAGAAGCTGGGAAGCATGGAGTCTCAGCCCCACATGGGGCTTCCCAGCCTGGAACACCAGAGCCAGGAATAGAAGCCCACATTAACTACTGTGACTTCTGTTTCAACCATAATTGGGGGGGGGGGGGGGGGGGGGAGGGGAATGTGTCTTTGAAAGAAATTAAGCTTCTATATAAAAGAAATCTTTGGACCATTCCACTCCCTGATCTCCTGGTGGAAGACGGCCCAGCCCAGTGGTGCCTGGTCACGTGCCCAGGAGCAGCTACAGTCCTCACCTGGATGAGGGAACGCATGTTAGCAAAGTGGGTGTCCATGGCGCCCCCATTGGGGAAGTTCTGGCTCATCCTCTTCATGAGGTGGCTGAAACAGCTGTAGGTCAGCTGATCTGAGAGGAGACAGGAATGAGGCCACAGGGCAGGGGGTGGCCTTCACTCCACAGGGGGTGACTGTGGCCCAGAGGACAGGGCTGGGACTGTTCCTACCCACCTAGACCTAGCAGTCTTTTCTTTTCCAGCTTATGTCAACCCCGCCCCATGCCCGAGGCCCACGCCATTGTGGGAACGCCCTCTTCCCTACCCTCACCATTATCGAGGATGACGAGGAGCGGCGCCAGCAGATCACACATGCCCTGCACGTAGCCCACGTCCAGGTGTTCCCACACGTAGCTGAAATCCCAGGAACAGAGTCACTGTAGGTGTGTGCCGGCCCCCATCCCCTCAGGGATCCCCAGGGAGATGGATCTTAGAGCAGCCTGCTCCCCAGAAGTCAGCCTTCCGGGACCCTAAAGCACGGGGAGTACCGCGGTGAACAACTAGCCCTGTCTTCAAGGCACACAGGGGGTCAGGGAAAGAAACAAGGCTGGGGCAGGGCGGGGGGGAGCAGTGGAGTGAGGGAAAACAGAGAAGGCTTCCTGGGAAACCTGTGAGTGAAGAGGGCGGGGCAGGGGCACTGCAGGAGGAAGTGTTCCCCCAAAGGGAGTCCAGTGTGATTCTGGGGCAGCGAGGGGGCGGGGCACTGCTGACCTAACCTCTCCCTGAGCAGGGTCCCTGCTGCCCACCCTGAGCCCTGCCCTGCAATGGCACCTGCACATGATGTCTCTGAGCCTCTCGAGGTTGGGGGGGGTGAAGTACCAGTGGTTGCGGTCACATCGCTGCACGTCTTTGTCTATGCGGTGCAGATTTAAGGCCACGGTGTCCAATAGTTCTATCTGAAAGAGTGGGAGGCCCTCGGGGTAAGCTGGGGCCTGAGGTGATGCCCACAGGGAAGCAGGAAAGGCAGGGAGCCAACGACTCAGAGAGCAGAGTCCTCTGGGACGCTGAGAGACGGGCTCCAGGCCCTCCGAGACAGATACCCCACCATCCACCCGCCAGCCTGTCCCCACGCCTTGGGATGGCAGGAGGGCTCTGGGCCAGCTAAGAACAGTGCCTGGGAATGGCCACCTACAGTGTAGGCGGCAGCACACACGGCCGCAAGCTCCTCTCCTGCCTCCAGCTCGCTGGCCCGAGAAGCCTCCTCCTGGCTGGGATCTTGGGGCTCGGAGAAAGCGTGGACTGCAGGTTCCGGCCTGTCGGAGCCTTCCTCCCCACCGCAGTCCTCCTCAAAGCCCACACTCGGCCCCTCATCTATGCTCGACTGGATGCCTGAGGCCACGGAATAATTGCGAGAGGAAGGCAGTCCTGAATCTGGAGAGTCAAACTCCACTGACTGCTGCTGCTCCACCACGGCGGTGCCCATGGGCCCTGCTCCCGGCGCCTCCTCGGGCTCTGGTCTGCGATCCTCAGTGCCTGGGGGCTTCGGGGGCTCCAGGTCATCCACGGAGATAAACACCTGGTGGGGAGAACAGATGGTGGGGCTCATACCTGCACCTCAGCTCCTTCCCTCAGCTCAGTGTCTCCTTCCTGGGGTCAGAATAAGTGAGGGGGATGGAGAATTCTCATCACACCTACTCCACCCCACACCTCCAGCACTGCCTCTCTGGACACCAAGCCTCCCCTTCTGACCCAGCTGGTCAGGTGGAGGAATGAGACTCCAGGCCAACATGAAGACTTCAGCCCTATCCAGTCCCTTCCTCTGCTTCTTCCTGGGGCAAGAGAAAGGGGAACACCCCAGCCTTCCGGTGGCTGCTGCAGGGAAGATGGGAGACTGGCGGCCTGGACACGCAATGGTATTTGATGGCAGTGTGAGCGGTGCCAATCTACTAACACCTGAAGTCACCAGGCTGCCTCAGGTCAGGAGCACTTCTCCATGTGCTGGTGTGTGTGTGTGTGTGTGTGTGTGTGTGTGTGTGGAGATGGGGGCAGCCTGGAGGCATTAGGAAAACCAACAAGGCAGGGAACTTTTCTAGCAAGGACCTGATCGGTTATACTGGCCTCAGACAAGCTGAGGAGAGGTCTGAAGTGAAAGGAAACGCATTGTGCTGACTGGAAACAGGCCTCCCCATGGACCAGTACAGGGAAAAGAAGACAGACATATCCAGACTGGCTTTTACTTTTTTCCCTATTTGGACTATGTAGGGAAAGGGATGCTAAAAGGAGTTTTCACACTGGGTGAGAAGCATGAAGTGTCGTTGTGTTAGGATCAGGTAAGGCCACGAGGCCAAGGCAATCGGACCCCGGAGCAGGGCCCCGAGGCCATTGCTGTCTGTGAGCTGAGCAGTTGGGCACTGGTACCGACTTGGGATCTTACGAAGCCCAAAGCCAGAGAGAAAGGACAGGCTCCCGAACAGGAAGCAAGAACAAAGCACATGGAAAGCGTGTGCCTTGATGTTATAGCTGTTCTCAGTCTTGCACCAGCTCCAGTTTTCTGTTAATATTAGGAAAGATTTAGTAAAGTAGCTAGAATACACACTATCTAAAGCAGCAATTTTAAAGAAAAAAATACATTAGTAAAAGAGTGTCCTTGAGCCTGAGACTTCTCAACACTTCTGTGGGACCAGTTTGTTTAGGCTTGTTCCCCTAAAGCGGGGCGGGGGGGGGGGGGGGGGGGGTCGGGGGAGGACACGCCACGAGAGCTGAACTGCCTTTGCACGGTCAGTTCTGTGAGATGGTGACGGGCTCCAGAGGCGGGAGGTCTTGCCAGCAGATGCCAACAGCACCGCCCTATGGGCTCCCCTGGCCTCTAGCATCAGCTCTCAGGGAGGCCGCTACAATCAAAGGGCAGCAGGGCCGGAAGGTAACTGAGGCCCAGAGATGGGAAGACGTCACTCATCTTGCCAGTAGTGGCCCTGGGACTAGCCCCCACGGCTGCCTATTCTTAGCCTTGAGACCTCATTAGGGCTCCCCTAATCCCCGTAAATCCATCCTTCCCTCCTAGTCCATTAAACCCGATCACAACGCACTATCTCACTTTATTCCTGCAGCACCCAGAGAAAGAGAGACAGAGACACGTCAAGCCACTCTCCGAGGGCTCCGCTGCAGTGAGTACGAGAGGTTGGGCTGCTGCTCAGGACTCCTGCCCTCGCCCCACCCCCCTCTTCCGCCCGCTCCCAGGTCCCCGCTGGCTCACGTCATTGCTAATGGTGGAGTCCCGGTGGATGAGGCGCTGCACGTGGCTGTCGATGCTGCTGCCCGAGGAGAACTTGGTGAGTGTGGCTGGGTGCGCCTCCCGCTCCCGCTGCCTCACCACCACCTCGCAGGCCTTCCACTCCGCCAACACCCGCTGGTACCTCGCTGCCACCACTGCGTCCACCTGGACTCGGACACACCGTGACCATGGGGGAGGGGTGCACCAGGCCCTCCTCTGCAGGAGCTGGGACAGCTGACGACTAGGCTGGGGCCCCGCAGTGAGGACAGTGGGGTGCCTCTGTGAACCCTCCCCTGCCACGTTTCTTTCCACTGAGCTTGTATGAGACCCTTGGCCCGCCTCCCCGCCTCCCCGCCCTCCTACCCCACGGGAAAGGGCTCCCCTTACCTGCTCCATCTCCTTCTTGCTCGTGCCAAACTTGTAGTGGCCAAGCAGAAAGGGCCAGACGTCCTTGCGGATCTCGTGCTCCACGCCTCCGTAGTAAACCTGCCGCAGCAGCTCCAGCTCCTTGTAGTTCTGAGGGGCCCAGGGAGTAGACTGTGCAGTCCCCGCAGTCACCTCCCGGTGACCCACCTCCGGGAGAGCGGGCTGGGCACAGACTCGGTCACCGCGGAAGCCCACGGAGACCCTGCGTTGGGCAGCCACGTCCCCCTGCCCCACATTAGCGCTGGCTGGGACCTACTTCAACCCCCTCCCTCGGGAAGAAGCGAAGCCGGAGAGGCGCAGAGATTTGCCAAGGCTGTGGGTAATGGGAAAGCAGAACAGACTCCCCGCCCAGTGCCCTGCCCAGGGAAACCCACAGCCCCAGCTGTCTGAGATCCCGCCATGACCCCGCCACTCCAAGGCCATCAGTCTTGGCCTGTCAGCCCAAACACAACTGTGAATGCCCAGTTGTCCTGTGGCAGCTGCGCCCAGAGCGGACACTCTGCACCCACCGCTGCCCGCCCCAGCCACTGACCCTGGCCCACAGCGTGTACCTTCTCATCCTTCTGGTACTTGCTCCACACGTCCTTGGTGAGGCCCCCTGAGGCCCCTGGGGGGCGGGCGGGCGGGATGATGTTGTGATGCACCAGCGCTGACAGGTGGGTCCGCACTGTGGACAGGTGGCGGCAGTATGCCAGCCCTGGGGGTGGAGGGGCGAGCCAGGCGGCCGTGACCAGGACGCCTCCCCCTGACCCTGCCACCCATGGCCCCACCTCACCCCACACTCACAGCCGTAGAAGGCCCGGGACACGATCTGCCTCTTCATGCTCTCACACAGTAGCCTGAGGGGCAACCTGTGGAATCAACCTGGCTCAGAGGGCTGTGGTTCTTGCTTTGGGAGGAGGGTGAAAAGTGAGGACACTGAGGGGAGCAGGGACGGCACTCGGGGTGGTGCGGGGAGCAGGACCCAAGACCGGCGGCATGTCAGTGGGCTCCCTGTTGCTGCCAGCCACCCTGGTCAGAGCTGCTAAGGCTCCAGCCTGGCTTCCAACCCCCCAGGGGAGCGTGGGCAACTACCTTCACCTCATGTTAATGAATTTTGGTTTCTTCAAGTGAAAAATGGAGAGAACCATCTCTGAGTTGTCAGGAGTGGCAGGTAAAAAGAAGTAACAGGTCCGATCAAGCAGCTGGCAAGAGCATCAAGTGCTAGCACACAGACAACATTCCCGTGCCGTTCCCAGAACATGGCCGGTGCCCAGATGTCTGCTGCGTGTCCCCGGACACACAGCCTGATTACAGGATCTGTGTCCACACTGGGAAGGGGGGCTCACAAGTACTGAGCACCTATGTGTCGGGCACAGCTCTGGGTACTCACATGGTTATATACCTTATTTAGTCCTCACAGGAACCTTAGGAAGCAGCTGGTATAACCCTCATTTTACAGATTAGGAAACTGAGGCTCAGAAACATAGAGACTCAGTAACTTGCCAAAGTCACATGGATAGCAGAAATGAAATTCAAACCCAAGTCTGACCAATTTGAGGCCACCCTGTTAGGCAAGTTGGCATAGCCCCTAAGGACAGATTAGCATACATACATGGATGGACACACTCACCGGAAGTGCCTCCCTGCCCACTCACCGGTCGGGGACACAGCTGCAGAGGTTGGGAGTTGCATATGGGGAGCTACTGGAGGAGCAGGAGAAGCAGGAGGAGGCCTGGCTACACATGGGATCTAGGTGCCAGGCTGGCAGGCTGGGCCCAAAGCCCTGCATCTCGATCATGTCACCAGCATCTGAGGACAGGAAGGGGGGCCATGGTCAGGGCCTGGCAGGCCTCCCCCCTTAGCCACCCTGCAGCATGCCCACCTCTGTGCCCAGAGCTGCAGCATGAAATCACCCATTGGTGGGGAACCACAGGGGTAGCGTCTGCCTGGTCCAGAACCCAGAGATGGTGATGGTGCAGAGGGAGGGCCTGACACGTCCCAGCTCCACCTAACCTTTCTGTACGTGATACAATCCTTTGAGTTGTGCATGACTGTGTCTGTTCTCTCCATCTTGCTATTAATGATGGAAAACGCTTTTCTAGAGTCTGGCAGGGAAAGAAAGAGAAGGAACAACGAAAAGCCTGAGCTCCTAAAATGCTACCAGCTAGCGTGGCCTCCAATGAGTTAGCCTGGTCCTCTTAGACAGACTCTGACAGGCACAGGTAAGCTGCCTGGACCTGGAACTGCGAATTCTGAGCAGAGTCTCCACTGATCAGAGACCTGGAGGCCCCTGAGGGTTCTAGACCTGGTAGTCAGTGCCTGAGGGTCAGGGCTCTCTGCGCAGGCCAGGCACCCCTGCTGCCTGCCGCTGTGGGTCCTTCCTGAGTTCTCCATCCTTGCCTAACCTGATGCACTCAGTGTGGTGGCCTCCTACAAACAACAGGTGAGCTGACAGGAAGGGCCAAGTCCCAGGGCTGCCAGATCCCCAACAGGGATGAGAGTCCCACCAGCCAGAAGAATGTCCCCACGTGCAGCCTCAGAAGACAGCTCCTTGGACACATCTACACCAAAGGCAGATGGAGCCTTTCAGCCTGCCCAGCCGACTGGAATCAGAACTCAAGATCACTGAGAGCTTCCAGGGCCCAAGTGGGGTAAGGCACTGCTCAGGGCAGCTCAGCTGGTCCAGTGAGCCACAAAGATGAAGCAAAGTGAGGGCAGGAAGTGAAAGGACTAGGAGACGGAACGGGAGGGAGGAGGGGGCAGAGAAGAGTGAAGAAGAACAGGGAAAGACAGCTGTGTGTGTGATGAATTCTTTCAAGCAGTATTTCTTCCTGGCCTGCTGAGTCTGGAGCAGGCGAAGGCCTGGCTTCTGTGGGAGCCAGACTTCAGCTCTGGGGGTGTTTTGGTGGGAGGGGCTGAACTGAGCCCTCCAGTCCCCTTGGGGGCTGCCCCATGTTTGCTGGGAATCTCTTCCCAGACATGTGGTGGGATTTTTGTAGATCTGGCCCTTCAGCTCCACCAGGAGGCACATTAAGGGAACATACTTGGTGTGGAGGGGCTGTGGCTCTGGGAGTGAGCAGTTGCAGGCTGTGCCGAAGACTCTGGGGAGAAGTGAGGGGGGAAGGGGAGAACAGATGCAGGTGGGGGTGGGGCAGGAGTCCAGCTCATGCCCCTACACCAGGCAGGAGAGAGGCCGATCTTGAGAGGAGTTGAGGTGGGAGCAGGCCCAGCCAGGCAGGCAGCAGGCAGCAGGCGGGCAGGCAGTGATGGGCAACAGGTGCAGAGGGCAGAGGGTGGGCACACAGGAAAACAAGCTCATGCCCAGAAAGCAGGGCTCAGCTAGGGCAAGTCTCCTGGGTCAATGCTCTTCACCTTAATTCTCCAGGAAGGAGCTGAGCAGCCAGCATTGAATATGCGTCTCTGAGTTAACCCAGTGCAGACAGCTGGAGCTCTGGAGTGACTGGGCCAGGGGCAGCAGGCTGGGCGGGGGCGCTGCTGGGTCAGCTTTGACTCTGACTCTCTCCTCTGAGCTTGAGGGAAGTCTGAAGCAAAACAATCAGGGTGGTTGAACCCCACAGCCCCTAAGACTCCGAGTGAAAGGTGCCTGGCCTGGAGCAGAATTAGAGTGAATAGCATCTCTGCTCTGTGGGGAGGCAGCAGGAGAAAGGGAGAGGGGAAGGAGAGGAGAGGCTGGACACCCGCCACTTGATTCACATGCACAAGTCAAGCATGTTGCAGGCCTGAAAAGCAACGGCTAGCAGGATGGACTCAACAGTGTTGTCATTATGGAATGGAGGGGAAAGGGGCTCTCACACCATCTCCCCAACCACCTGCTGATTCTGCTCACATGCCTCCTCCCCTTTCCCAAGTCTTAAGAGTCCCAGGGGCTGCATATTGGCACACTGGGTAGGCGGGCCCTAGTTCTCTAAGAGAATGCCCACACAAGCCCTGAGGCCTCTGCACTCTGTGAGCCTGAAGGTTTCTCTCACCCTGGAGGCCTCAGCATGAAGAATACTCAGGAATGGGCTTCCTATCACCAAGTCTTCTAAGACAGGGGCTTGGCTGGGACCCCCCTTTTCCCACCTCCAGCCAGTTCCTATGGGTAAGAAGGGTCAGCCCGGGCTCTCCTGACTCACCCTTCCCACACTGTTTAAAATCACTCAGCCTATAATAAGCATCAGCCCCAAGCCCGGGCTTGTAAGGAACCAGATGGCAGGCCATGTGCAGGCAATAAACATAACAAGTGAGGTTCCCCTGCGTTCCCACACAGACTGGCCTGTAGGGCCCACTGGAATGGCTCTGAGGGAAGATAGATACAAAGGCAGGCATGTGGTGAGTAAAGGGCAGCTGGCAGGGTGTGCTGAGGATGTGCTAGGCCACGGACTTGGTTGCCCACGAATGGGGAGACTTATTGGCACGGCGATGGGGAAGTTACCCTAAACTCCAAGAGAGCTGGCCCTAAATAACCAATATCCCTGGAGCACCCTGGCTGAGCCCACACAGGCTCCCTGGCTGATGATCACACTCCAAAAGGAGAGTGGGGTTCCTGCTCCACCAGCCTAGCTCCGTGCTAAGATGGGCTGTGAGCGCTGTGCTGTGTGTCCTTTACAAGGAAGGGACCTCTGCACTCTGATGTCCGTGAGGGAGGAACACACCTGACTTAGGTTCTAGATTTCACTTTAGAGCACCAGGCAGTGCCTGCTGGAACACCCAGGCCTGTAAACAGAGCCCTGGGTCTCCTTCCAGGAGGGCCCCACCCCCTGCCCAGAAGGGGCCTGGTACTTCTGTCCTATGTCCGTTGAGTTAGGAGTCAGAGGCACAGGGCTCAGAAGGCCAGTCTGCCCAGCCAGCAGGAGAGAAAGAGAGACACTGTCTTGGGTTTGTCCAAGAGTGGGAACAGGGCTCAGACAGCCATTCAGAGTTTCCAAGGGACAACCAGATCATCAGGCCTTCTCACTGCGGGATCTCTTCCCTCTCCTTACAGAGCCCAGAGCCAACTGCGTTTTTGCTTGGTCCCCTCTTCTTGCAGCACATCCTCCTTCTACCCTCCCAGGTCTGCCTCCTGATGGAAGGGAAACCACCCGGGGTGCAGGTCCCATAATGCCAACACTGCAGTTCGAGCCCCTGCGGTGGGTGGCCGGTGGGCCCAGGGGGTGGGGCAGAGGGAAGGGGGAGGTCAGGGAGAAAGGGAGGGATAAAAACCTTTCATCGGATTGGGAGCTGTGAGGTTCCGCGAGCAGATCATTGAGAGCATCGCGTGTAGTTTATCCTCCTCTTCCTCATCATCGTCCACCGAGGCCGGGCGGCTGGCCGCTAGGTGGTGGTAGTTAATAGTGACTGCTCAAAGAGAACAGCGAGAGAGCAAAGCATAAGGACCCTGGACCTGGGGCAGGAGGGACCAGATCCATCCTCCTGGGGAGCAGAATGGAGTCCGGGTCACCCTGAGCCTGCAGGGATGGAAGAGAGGGGACCCGAGAGTCCTTTGATTTACTGGGGAGAGTATGGAGGAAAGTGGGGGGACGGCAGCAGCTACAGAGCTCCACTTTTTGAAGAAGGCCCTCCCTAGGAAGAACAGAGAAGAGAGAACTGATGGAGGAGCCAGGGTAGTGAAAGACAGGGACCAGTTGGGACAGGCCAGAAGCTCAGGAGCTCCGGGCCCTGGCTCAGGCTGGGCGTGACTGTCGGCAGATGGATCCCGATCACCCTTCAGCTTGTGTCATGGTCAGGCTGGGCCAAATCGGAAGATTACCCCAAATCTCCCCCTTCAGACTATAAATCCAAACTTCTCCTCCAAGGATTTCCCAGAGCTGCTCTCGAGGAGTCTGAGTCACCCGCTGGGTTTCAGCTCCTTGGCACCTGGCTTGCCCTCCAGGGAAATGAAGTGACCAGAAATGGGCAATGCCAAGGCTTAAGAGAGGAAGTGCAGCCTGAACAACCTAAGCCGAGCAATAGGCTGAGATTAAATGCAAATGTGTCTCCTAGTCAGGCACATGGGGGGAGGGGCGGGGATCCCCACATCTTTGCCTTTCGAGCCTGTTGCGACTCCTTGTGCTGCGGTTGTGTCCACAGTCTGGGTAATCTGTCTGTTAATAGAGCGACAACCTGTTGACAACTTATTGGCACAAGTCAGGAAATTTAGGAAGCAGGTGGTCTGGCAAATGCTCCGGGCTGGCAAATTCCCTGACCTTCTTCCCAAGATCAGGGAGTCTGGCGTGGAGAAAGCTGTGGGGAGCAAAGCACTCTGACCAGAAAGGGAACTCTGGGCTTGGTGGACACCTTTTAGGATCCAGATGTGAATGTCCAGGTGGGACAGGACCCACAAGTGCCAAGCCGCTTTCAGCTCTAGCACCCCCAGCTGACAGCCTCACCCTCTTCAGATGCACCCCCTGTTCTCATCAGCAGCTGGTGTGAGGAGGGCTCTGGCCCTGGCGGAGTCAGTGAACAATGTGCACCATCCAAAAAGAAGCACTGACCCCGCGCCCAGGCCACCGTGTGGAGGTCAGGCAGAGGGCAGGGGTGAAATGGAGAGTCCTCTACCCTCTGTATCTAGTCTCAGCCACCTTCCTCCCCTGGGGCAGGGCGTGAATGGATGGCTAAGAGAATATTGTGTAGAGGCCCCTGGATCAGTTGAGCCAAGAGTCTTGGGGTGACAAGGGAAGGGAAAGACAGCAGGTAGAAGAGAAGCAAATTCTCAGGGGGGATGATCCGCAGAAAAAGGTCCAATGGGAGGCTAAGTACTGAACCCGGCCTGGTCAGTGGACCTTGCCTGCTGCCCCTCCTGGGTGATGCTGTCCTCCCCCACCCCCGAAGCGTCTCTCTCTCTCCGCAGAGGAAGAATGGGACACTCACTGTGCTCGTGCCTGTGGCCAGGGTAAATGATCCGGAACACGTAGTCTGTGGCCCAGCCTGTGCCCATCTCGTCCACATCTACGGACCGCGCGCTGCCACGTTTCCGCAGCTTGGGGAACACCTTCCCCTGAGGAAGGAGAGATGGGTGGTTAGCCTGTCCAGGGCAGAGTCCATCCCAGGGTCCCACCCAAGGCTGCTCCTAGGAACTCTGTGTGGGAAAAGGAAGGGAGGTGGGCAGAGGACCCACCTCACACACCCCTTCACCCAGAGCCTCCCAAGCCCTGCGTACCTTCCCCTGCTGGGTCCAGAGTGGAGGCTCCAGCTGTCCCCGAGGCAGAAGACCATTCTCCAGGCAGGACAGAAAGGAGAGTAGGTGTCCCCCCTGCGGGAAGTGCAGCGGTGGCTTCTGGATGCCATCCTGGCTCACCAGGACCAGTGTGCCACTGTTCTCTGGCGGGGGAGGGAGGGGAAAGTGAATATGGGTGAGCCAAACTGGGCCTCCAAGACCTCCCAGCCACCGCTGCAGCACAGCTGGCCATGCTTCCCGACTGGGTAGGAGGATAGTAGGGCTAGAATGTGGGGATAACTGAAAGAGGACAGACATTCAACAGGCCATGCACAGTGTGTGACGGGAAAAGGCAGTCTCTTCCCCCACCCCTGTGCCCAGGACAAGGGAGGCTCACTTTGCTGGTGGCAGTGGATGCAGACAATCTGACTGAAGGGCACAACCAGGGCATAGTCCCAGTAAACGCTGGAAAGGAACCAAATTGGTGTCACTGTGTCGCAAGACCAGCCCACCTGCCTTCCTAATTTCCTGGCCCCAACACCAGTGAAACTGCCCTGTAGACACGATGACCATAGCCGAGAAGTGACCTCGGCCAGCCATGTCCCTCTGGGCTCCGTGCTGCCCTCATGGCACAGAGCCTGGCAGCCTCAGATGCCTCGAGCTTGGCTCAGGCAAACCTCTTAATGTCCAGGACTGGCTGGATCTTAGAGAGCTTGGGAATATCTCCAGGCAGCCTCTCTCTGCAATTCTTGGCATCGGGTAAGGTGTGAGCCTGCCTCTTGGAGCAGGCTGGGCCTCTCCATCCCCCGGCCTGCTGGCAAGCTCTCACTCCCTTCCGGGGCTCCTGCGGTGAGTCCCAAAGCCCCCACCTCTTTTCCAGCTCGGAGTCCCCCAGAGTCCCATTCATGAGCTGGTTGGGAGTCCACTTCAGAGTTAGGCTCTCTGCAGACTGGTGCAGGGAGAGGTAGCCGGGGACAGCCTCCATGTCCTCCTTCTGCAGGGAGGAGACACACCGGAAGATAGAGACGATAAGGGGCTGAGAGGCTCCCAGGAATGGCCAATGGAAAACGAGCTCCAGGTGGGAGTGGGGGAGGCCCAGCCAGTCCAACCCAGGGTTCTGGAATGGGGGCGGGCAGAAGCAGGGGAGACATGAGCCACACGCAGATGTAGGCATAAACTCTTCCTGGTTGGCCTGGTGCCACTGGCTCTGCCCTGTCAGCTTCCTGGATGCCAGTTATGTCCTGGGCCAGTCATACCCAAGCTGCCTGCTGGCTGCCATTCCCATCCCCGGATGCTCTGGTTCTCAGCCAGAACAGATGCCGTTTCTGGCTCCCGCCCATTCAAGACTGGGCATGAATCAGTGAATTAGCGGGGCGGGGGTGGGGGTGGGGGAGGTATGCTTCTCTCTAGTCAAGCCCCTTAAGAAAGGGATGGTGTGGCTGGAAGGTTCCTTCTTGGGGCCCTCGGAAGAGGGGAGGGCAAGCACTAAGCTTTCCTACCGGCTGCACCAGCACGTTGTTCTTGCCATAGAGCAGCCGCATCCTGGAGTTCTGGTGCAGGGATTCCACGTACTCTCGGGCGCAGGCAGCGAGCTTGTCCTCCAACGTGCTGCCGCTCGAGTGCCGCTTCCGGATCTGCACAAAGTCCCAGCTCAGCGCCAGCCCTGGGAAATCAGCCTTGGAGGGAGGACCCTAGGCTTCCAGGCAGATCCTCTCTAGCTGACCCCACGGGTTTGCTCCCAGCCACCCTCTGCTCTCTAGCCGCGAACCAGCGGTGTGCTCCTGGCATGAAGTGCCAATGCGGGGAAAAGGCTCTTCTGGATGGCCACTACCTTGGGGCATCTCCAAGGCCCAGCCTGTATCTTCAAGGAGCACGGTGACCACCTGCCCCTTCCTACAGGCCCCTGGGCATAACCTGGATGGGCACAAGGAGTAGGGAAGGGATGCCTACTCCTAGGGCTGGGCGTTTTGCTGGGGAGTCCTGGCGATTAGGGGGACCCCGGATACGGTGCCTCTGGACCAGCTCATCAGCAGAAGGGTCGGTCCAGTAGTGATCGGCTGTCTTGAGCTTGGTATACTCCAAAGCACAGGGTCCCACTGTGGAGACAGGGACAGCCGGCTCGGAGAGGGCCCCTTCAGCACCTGACCCTCAGCTCCCACGGGCCCAGTGTAGGCCACTCTGCTCTCAGGCTCACCTAGAAGAGAGGCCAAGATGGGGCCAAACACGGGGTCTGCCAGTAATGCCTCCTTCTCGTAGTACTTGCTGCCAGCGGGAGAGACAGACAGGGGGACTGCTGGGGCTCCTGGACTCATTCCAGGGCAGTCAAGCTCACCAAATAGGGACATTCCCACAGAGACCAAATGCATGTCCGTCACCAAGAAGAAGTAAGCCCATAAGAACTGAGCTTAGGGAGGGCGGGGGCAGTTAAGAGATCAACCAAAAAACTTGCATGCATGCATATAAGCATAACCAAGGGACACAGACAGTAGGGGGGTAAGGGCCTGTGCTGAGGGGCGGGAGCAGGCTGGGAGAGATCAATGGCGGGAAAGGAGACACATGTAATACTTTCAACAATAAAGAATTTAAAAAAAAAAAAAAGAAAGAAAGAAAGAAAGAAAGAAAGAAAGAAAGAAAGAAAGAAAGAAAAGCAACAAACAAACAAGAACTGAGCTTGGTGAGGTGTGTGGTAGCCCATGCTTTCGAGGTGCTGCAGGGGCGACGGGGCATGCTCACAGGCTAGGGTGGATAGCAAGCCTGCGGAGGCGGGACATTCAGGAGCTGGGCCCCAGGGAGGGGCATTCACCTGCAGTTCTCCACCAGGTACTGCACCACCCTGTCCAGCACCTTCTCGATGAGCGCTGTGCGGACCCATATGTGTTTCAAGGCCTGCGGGCTGAGGGCGGGGGCCTTCCCACTGGTGGAGCTCTGTCTCCGCAGGGCCTCCTGGCTACCCACCAAGGGTTTCCTGCAAGGGGGGGGGGGGCTTTAAGAATGTGAGAGTCCGGGGCTGAGCCCCACACTGGTGGCACCGGGAGTGGAGTTTGGTGCCACAAGATGAGAACCCAGAGGACTGACTGGGTGGAGGTGTCGAAGGCCTTGTGCCTGAAAGGGGCCAAGGCTCACTCTCAGGCTGGTTCTGAGAGGCCCTGCAAGAAATGAGCCCAGGGGCCGGGACCGGTTTGGCTCAGTGGATAGAGCGTTGGACTGCGGACTGAAAGGTCCCAGGTTCGATTCCGGTCAAGGGCATGTACCTTGGTTGCAGGCACATCCCCAGTAGGGGGTGTGCAAGAGGCAGCTGATCGATGATTCTCTCTCATCGATGTTTCTAACTCCTAACCCACTCTCTTCCTCTCTGTGAAAAATCAATAATATATATATATATATAAAGAAAAAAAAAAGAAAAAGAAATGAGCCCAGGAAGGCAACCTGGGAAGTAGCAAATGCCAAATGGTAAGAGCAGAAGGGAGGGGGAAGAGGCAGGCCCAGGGCTCACCTGCCCTCTACTTGTTGCTGCAGCTCCTGGACCTTGTGGCAAATCTCCCCAGCCACTGGGCACGTCTTCCCCACCTTGGTGAACAGAGCTGCCACCTTGTCGCTGCGCAGGAAGCCGGCGGCACGGCGTCTCAGCTGATGCAGGAGGCAAGCCTCCACCGCACCTAGGCCACAAAGGAAACCAGCACCTGAGCCTGGGGGGGGGCGGGGAGAGAACACTCCCCTCCCCCACACCGAGGGAGGGCAGGCCTGACCTAGGACTAGGGGTGGGGTGTCAGTTTTAAGCAGGCCAGGAAGATATACCGACCTCCTTCCATAAGCCCCGCCCCTGTCCATCTGCCTGCCCCGAATGGACCTGTAAGGCCCCATGCCAGGCCGTTCCTCTCACTCGCTTGGTATGTACATGCCTCCCGTGTGCAGCATCGCCCTGGGGATGTGAGGACCAAAGTTGCCAGTTCCCGTTGGCACGGGTAGCTCCACCCCTGCCCACTTACAGGACTGGACATGCAGGGAGCACCCAGCACACAGCCTCCTGGAAAGCATGGATGCTGTGGTTGCTAAGAAACGGGTTCTGGAGAAGAAGCTGAAATATTGACAAAGCCATTGCAGAGATCAGATCTGATAGCAGCCCCTGAATTATTGATGAGCCCCGCAGCCAAGGGTGAGAGATTTCTATTTCCCATGCAGGGAGGGCTTCCCTTCATTCATTCATGTTTTAGGGGGTAGGCTTCCTCTCTCCATCTGGATACTGCTGACTGCACACCGACTCCATAGGAAGGAAAGAAGGGCTTGGCGGGGGAGAGAGGGAAGTTCTCCTGGCCATGAATAGAATCTAAACATATTAGTGTGTATATTCGGGGGAAGAGGGGACTCGGCCATTACTGAGGCCAAGCTAATTGCTTTACAAGCAAGGAGGGGAAAGCCCAGAAAGGGGAAGGGGTCTCATCACAGAAACATAGTGGCCTGAGCTCCCCCACCCTCTCCAGGTGTGTTCAGAGGGCACAGATGAGAGAAGGTGCTCCCTTCACTTCACAGGTGCTCCTTTCACAAGGATGGAAAACAGCCGGGACCGGTTTGGCTCAATGGATAGAGCGTCGGCTTGGGGACTGAAGGGTCCCGGGTTCGATGCCGGTCAAGGGCATGTACTTTGGTTGCGGGCATATCCCCAGTAGGGGGTGTGCAGGGGGCAGCTGATCGATGACTCTCTCTCATCGATGTTTCTAACTCTCTATCTCTCTCCCTTCCTCTCTGTACAAAATCAATAAAATATGTTTAAAAAAAAAAAAAAAGGATGGAAAACAGTGCTGTGCTGGAGGCAGGGAGGCAGACTAACAGGGTGTGAATCTGGCGGGGCCACTCATCGATCTCCGGGAAACCTGTGTAAGTGACTTCAGCTCTGAACCTCTGTTTTATCATCTGTGAAATGAGGAATACTTCTGAAATGTTACACGAGATGAAGCATATAAAATCTCTTGCACAGGGACTGGCACGCAGGAGGCCCTTGGTCCCAGATGGTTCCTGACTCCTCACCCTTGTTTGCCGAGACCCTGTTCTGCAGCTAACTACCAGGACTGAGCTTTGGCAAGGGAGAGGAGAGGACGCCCTGGAGACGGGATCACAGCCTGCCCCAGAGGTGGGCGTGATGCGATCCTCTTAGAGAACAGCGGAAATGAAGCCCATCAGTTACTGTGACTAGTGTTGTTAGAAACCCAGACTTAGGACGTAATTGCTGAAAACAGAGGTTCTCACCTGATTTTTGCCTTCATTTTCATAACTGTCAGGCAGTCACTGCTGTCCTATAAAAATGAGCTTTGCTTGGCCCTCTTGTACTGAAATAAAAATAGTGGAGAGTCCCTGGAGGCCAGACAGCTCAGTGAGAGCATCCCTGGGGTGGGGAAAGAGGCAGGACCCATCCCTCCGCTGAGTGCTTCCTGCTAGAGCTCTTCCCTGCTCAGGCCTCAGAGGATTTATTTTACAGGCGCGGCCTCCCCTTCACACGTGTTCCTACATCTATGTTCCCATGTGCAGGCAGACAGATATAGCTATACATCTGCTGTGTGTATGGGGCATGTGGTGGAATCTCTGCTTAGGGGTCCACATGTTCTTTTCCACAGCTCGCCTCCTTGGCCCCTGAGGTCTCGTGTGACCCTGGGTGTGCAGGCGAGAGACCCCTTTGTCCCCCTGGGGCTGTTGCAGCAACAATTCACACCTGTAGGAAGGTGGTGACATTTCCTTAGGCTCACACTCCCCATCCAGAGCACTGAATAGGGAGAGTAGCAGCAGGTGGCACCGATCCTACAGGGAATCAAGTGCCTTGGTGATATGACTAATGGCTGGGATAATTAGTCATTAACCTTCCCACCTTCCCCAGGAGATAGAATGCAGCCACGCTGGGGAGCCTGGGAATGGCAGGCAGTGGCACACCCATACCGCTTGGCCTCACCCATCTTCCTAGGCAGCTTCTATACACAGGCATTTAGGCTCTCTGGAGTAAGCAAAGGCATTCCTCTGCCATCATTCCAAGTAGGGAAATACTGATAAGCCCAAATATTGTGCCCAGTCCCCCCTTCTCACCCTACAGCTCCTAATTTCCTCCTGTGAAACCCAGAAAAAGTGCCCAGGCAATGTATGGGGAATGAGAAATCCCTCTCACCCCCCAACACTCCCCCCACCCCCTACCCCGAGAATCAGCATATGCAATGAAAAATGTTACTGGGTGCAGCATGTAAGCAAAATAGTAACATAATCATAGTCATTATAACAACACTAATAAATGAGAACTACTATCCTAAGAGGGTTAGGGAGTGGGTTTCTGGGGCTCCAGGGACCCCCTGAAATTGCTCCAGCATTGTTAGGGAGAGTGCTTCTATTTTGGATGAGGATCTATGGCTTTTAGCTTCTAAAAAGGGGTACCTGACCCCCAAAAGTTTAAGACCCTTGCTCTAAGGTTTTTAAGTTGAGCAGAAACAGACATTCAAAACTCAGAAATGCAAATACAAAGACTCTCTCTCTCTTTTAACTAAACAGTGAATGCCGCACTCAGACCTGCAGTTCCAGACCCATCAGCAACAATGTCCAACTCTCCACTGTCCTTGCTCCCCAAGGAGAAGTCTATACAGAGGCCTGTGCCTCTTCTCCCTCCTTGGCCCAGAGCACCAAGCAGTAAGAACTGGGTGTCTTACTCCTCTTCCTGCCCCAGAGGGCCGCATGACTCACCCCCGGGGTGGAGGGCCTGAGAGGAGACACCCATCACAGCAAAAGCACCAGTCAGCAGGGCCCATCCCCCTCTAGCTGAGCTGTGTGGGCCCCGGTCACCGAGACACAAAGGCTTTAGGATCCCCTGTCCCAGTGTGTCCAGGAACCACCTACAGCCACTCCGGATGCACCAGAACAGGAGTGAGACAGCCCTGACATCATTCAGCTCATTTCATATGGGAAAACACACACTAATAAAAATCAGCAGTCTCCAGACATTAGTTCGGGTGGAAAGGTTTGGGCGAATGAATCAAAATAGAAACAGAGACATGACTCAGGCAGGATCCTTTTTATCTCCCCACCCTGGTCTTCTGAGCTACGGTGCCAGATGAGCCCAGGGTACCCTCTCTGCTTGTCATCTGTCCCACTGATAGGAAGGCCCAAGAAACCGCAACTCTGGGCAGAAGTGGAACTAATTTTATATTTTAAAATATTTTTATTGATTTCTTTCTTTTTCTTTTCTCTCTCTCTCTCTCTCTCTCTCTCTCTCTCTCTCTCTCTCTCTCTCTCTCTCTCTCTCTCTTTCTCTCTCTCTTTTTTTGAGAGGAAGAGAGAAAGAGAAACATTGATTGGCTGCCTCCTGCATGGTCTCCTACCAGGATTTGAACATGCAATCTTTTGATGCATGGATAACATTCAACCGAGCCAACCTGCCAGGGCCAAGTGGAACTAATTTTAACTCTCGCACTTTGCTATGGACATTTCCTTCCCCTAACGGTCTGGTACCATCTTCCCAGAGAAAGGCTGGGAATTACAGGCCCAGACTAGCCCTGCGACTCTCCCTCACCAGCCTCTGATGTGTTCCTAAAGTCTATGAAGTTATAAGGTTGACAAACACTAAAATGGGTGGAGATCACAAGTACTAATGACACCTGATAGGGTCCCCTTCCTACGAGCCCCTTAATCCTGATTTAATCATTCCATTTTGGAATGGAGGAGACATTGGTAGATAGGGATGGAAAGGACTTGGGAAGTTCCTGAACCTTTTCATACCTTGCTGGAGGGAGGGTTGATTGGTACCACTCCTGTGCAGGCACCGTCAACATTGCAAGTGACCTCTGACATAGTAACCTTCTTCAAGGAATCTAGTCTACAGATATAACTGCCCCGGTTACTTAGTTAAACAGCAAAAGGCTAAAAACTATCCACATGCGTATCAATAAAAAACAATTACATAAACATGGTACATTCACAGAGGAGAATGTTATACAACTCCAAAAAACAATGAGGGTGCTCTCTAGACACTAATAATGGAAAGGTCTTCAAAAGCAAGATGCAGAGCGGTATGATTGATTGTGTGATATCTTGATAACAAAAAGGGTGGGGCCAAAATTGGTTTAGCTCAGTGGATAGAGTGTCGGCCTGAGGACTGAAGGGTCCCAGGTTCGATTCCTATCAAGGGCATGTACCTTGGTTGCAGGCACATCCCCAGTAGGGGGTGTGCAGGAGGCAGCTGTTCGATGTTTCTCTCTTATCGATGTTTCTAGCTCTCTATCCCTCTCCCTTCCTCTCTGTAAAAAAATCAATAAAATATATATTTTTTTAAAAAATTCTGTAAGGATACACAAGAAACAAAAGTGGTAGTGGTTACCTGTGTGTGAATTTGTAGGTGGGGAAGTGGGAGAATGGGGGCATGGAAAAGAGTGAGACTTTTCACTGTATATCTTTCATATAATTTTGCTTTTTGAACCAAATAAATATATCAGCAACTCAAAATATTCTATAATAACAAAAACATAATATGCTAATTAGACTGGACAGCCGAATGACCTTCCAGACATCCTTCAGGATGAAGCCGGGGCTGAGAGGGCTGAGGCGACCCATCGTGGCTGAGAGGGCCAAGCCCCTTGCACTAATTTAGTGCACTGGGCCTCTAGTAATTATAATAATTGAGTAGGTGACCATCCAA